TTACCTTCTTCCTTCCATTTTCCCCCTCTCTTCGGATTCACTTAACCCTAAAATGTGCCACCTAATCTTCCAAGTTCCACCTCGAGTTGCGCCAGATGCGAGTCAAGCCGTAGCGTGCGTCCGTTGTACGTCGCCACGGTCAGTCTATTGTGGTGGCCTCCGGTAGCCCGGAGATTCTTGGCACCGCCCGCCCCGCCGTTACCGTGGTCGCCACCGTGACCAGGAATAGCGGGGCTGCCGAGAAGTGGGGTCCGTGGCTTGTGGTCTATTTGCATTAGAGGTTTTGCCCATAATCGCCACGCTGGGCAAGCAGGTTGGCGATCGCAGAACGTAGGTTAATTCACTGATGACGCTGCTGCCCGTCACCAGTGAGATTTCCCTCCCCTACGTCGATGGATGGGTATACCGCCATCGGTCGGTTTGCCAGAGCCTCGTCTGTTGGTCAATAGGGTGCACCGCGTGAAGATGAGGTTGGCTTGGCTTCTTGCAGGTGTATTTAGAACCCCTTACACCCCATTTAGAACCCCTTACACCCCTTAATATACTTAGCCTTTTTAATATCTGCAATATTTTTTTGCCTTACGTGATTACCCAAAAATTTAATATATTTTTTTGTATTCATTTTGACAATTAAGATGGTACTCTCTTTGACCCACCAGCAGCCTCTTCTAGTTTTAAGCAATGCTCTTTCAATACTTGATCATATTTCGCTAATAGTTGTACTAATTCTAGAAAATTCCCTTGTTTTCCGAAGAAACATCTTCAGGGTGGCCTCGGAAGCCAAGCTTTTGTTGGGCTAAGAATAGCGTTACATCTAAAAGGCGATGTAAAATGTTTTTCCATTTGTTAGTTTCATCGTTAATAATCTTCAATTTGTCTTTATCAATAGTTTTATTAAATTTCAAGCATATTTTCAACGTTTTCCATTTTTCTAAGTTTGATAGATGTTCATGAGACGATTCATGCTGTTACATTCTTGGATTTAATTTACACCACTGACAAAAATCAGAAAAAAAATTAGTGTGATCGTCTCCCTCAGATGGAAATAACAATATAATTTCTTTGTTGATGGTGAGTATAGCATCCATTTCCTTAAATATTTAGTCTCGTTTAAATGTGAGTAAAACCACAGCAAAGTTAAACAACGATGTGTTCCCTTAGTGCTTTCACCTGGTCTTTCTACAGATTCAAAAGGATCGTCCTTGTTTTGAAATATTTCACTGCCCTTTTCGATAATCGAAATTCTGATATGCTCTTGCCAGTAGCTAATGTGCAGCATCAATGGATGATAAGACCTTTATCTTAGAAGCGACCTTCGGCATCCTCAGTATTTTTCATTAATTTTTTAGTTTTATAGTCCTGTATTTCAGTGTCAGTCACGTCAGAGTTTTTATTAATATCACATTTAGTTGACTCTTCACCTATGTTTGCTGTCTTAATATCAATGATTTGTCTTTTAGATCCCGATTCAACAGTTTCATCAATTTCTTCGGCCACGCCACTTTTCTTCTCTTCTGAATTCGAAAAGAAAGTATTTGGATAAAGATCCAGCAAGCGATTTTGCCCCTTCAGTCTTCGTTTTTTTTAGCTTCCTCCTTTTCTAGGAGCCAGATGGTTGAATTATTTTCACCAAAAATAATGAGATAAATAAGAAACTTTTATAAAAAAGTTAAATTAAGCCTTATTATTAATTTGACGAATAGATATACAAATGTGCAGAGACTTTGCCGTGTTGTCTCACGATGAGAACAAGTACATACCTGCCAACGTCCCTAATAAACGTGCACTACAAATAAAATAATTATGTTAAATTTATAAAATCAAAAAATCCGACTGTTTAAATATTACTTCAAATAAAAACTGAAAGGAAAGAACAACAAGTCCAGTAGTCTATAATTCTGTTAAGTAAGAAACAAACCTACTTACCAAACAGTCGGGTAGATATTCAAGAATGGATCATTTTTTTAATAATGGTTCCCGACTCTTACCTATATATTTAATTAAGCCAATGTTAATTTTTCGACGTAAATACAATGTAGTGAATGTAAATGAAGGCATACAAGAGTGAATTACGACCAAATATTATTGCGGTATTACTTTTAAAAGAAAATGAAATGTGATACTAAAAAAATATATATAACGAGATAGATATGTAGATACATATACGTATGTAGATACTAAGTACATTTTTAAAGTCTTATTTAGGATTTGATCAGGGGAACGCAGCGGCATTTGGGCCCCCCCAAGACCAGAGGCCCGGGGCGGGCCGCCCCTTCCGCCCCCCTGTTAGTCCGCCACTGCAAATATGCGTCGTTAAATTACACGTTGTTACAGAATGCGTTGAAGAAATAAAGGTTCACTGCTCGTTCCCCGTAGGTAATAGCGTGATAATATGTAGCCTATATGTTGACCTGACTTTTTAATAATATTCGTGCCAAATTTAAAGTAAATTCATGCAGTACTTTTTGAGTTTATCTCAAAGATACATACAGACAAACAGACAAAAATCTAAAAACTATATTTTTGGCTTCGGTATCGATATCACATCCCTAGTATTCTTTTAAAAAATATTCAATGTACAGTTTTGACTTTCCTACCATTTAATTATATGTATAGATTTTTATTAAAATTCATCCATAACACAAGCCTTACAGTGCTTACGATTATTATAAGCGGCCGCCCGCGACTTCGTCTGCCTTTACTTTTCTGGGAATTGGGATAAGATAGACGTGTGTTCTCTGTCGACGTTACATCTAAATGTAACGTCGACAGAGAACTCGGCTATGTTACAGGTAATATACTTCCGGACGTATCTATCGGGTCTAAAATTCTCATGTCACGGTGTGCGTAATTGAACTACTCCGAAACGGCTCGACCGATTTTCGTGAAATTTTATATGCATATTCAGTAGGTCTCAGAATCAGACAACATCTATTTTTATCCCCCTACATGTTAAACCCTTAAATCATTTTGTTTGGACAAAATTTATTGTTTTTATTTTTATGATACATCATACAAAAATACATACAACCCTAAATTTTCACCCTTCTACCACCAACCCCTATTTTTTTATGGCGGTTCGAAGTTCGCTGGGACTGCTAGTAGTGATAAAGGTTTAAATGGTATGTAGCTAAAATATATGTTTATGAACAAAAAACACATGAAAAATCAGCTTCCGAACTTCGTCTGTTTTTTATAATTATATTTTTATTTTAATTTATACATAACACAAGCCTTACAGTGCTTACGATTACTTTAAGCGGTCGCCCGCGACTTCGTCTGCCTTTAGTTTTCTGGGAATCCCAAAAAACCCTAACATTTTTTCGGGATAAAAAGTATCGGTCATAAACTAACGCGTACCAAAATTTATCCAAATCCATTCAGTAGTTTTGCGTGATTGAGTAACAAACATACAAACTTTCACATTTTTATGGTAATATTAGTAGGACTTATTTTAATCATATCATCCAATTATATTCAAATAATGTTGTTCCAGTTCTTGAGTTCTTCTTCACACATGGTGCCGCCGGTGAGTTTGCTACGTCGACATCAAAGAGAAGCGAATGAACAAAATCCTAAAAGAACCGTTCTTGTACATCCGAGAATCGATGTTCAACTACAAAATGTTAATAAATCTTTTATACAAAGCCATACAATATTTTTGTTACTATATTTAGATAATATTCATTAATATCACACGCACGAAACAAGAAAAATATTCAAGATAAATTAATAAAACGAAAAAGGAAATGTACTTTTTTATATAATATGTTCGTAGGTAGGTAATGATGATAATGCTAACAAACTTGGATTTGTCTTTATCGTGCGTTTAGCAAATAAATTCCAACAAACAAGATGTGGTACAGTTATATACAGTTCATAATAACGAAAATGAACGTCCTCACTATCAGTAGTCTGGCGATATTTGCGATTCAAACCTTCAATCCCAGAAGTTAAATTGGCTAGATCCATGATGGATTTAGTGAGGGTTTACATAAGCCAAAAACATAAAAAAATACCTATAATGCCAAGAGATGGGGATGGATGAATGCGAGGATTGCACTAAATCAGTCCAGTAATAATTTTTCCGTTTCTCCGCACCGCAGCCTCGCTCCGCTGAAATGGACAGACAACCTAAGACGCGGTAGCATAATTGGTCAGTGCATCCGCCCGGATAGCAGAGGATGCGGGTTCGAGTCCCGCTTGCTGCCTGGACCGCTTGAATTTTTGAAGTGAAAACTTCTTTAGCAGCGTTTTACACTTTTTTTGTAATGGGTAAAAACTGTTAAACTCCCTTCAGGACACGTGGCCTGATCGAAAATTCGTAAAACGAAAACAATAAAATTGGAAAGGTTGTTGACTTTAAATATGTTGGACGTAGTAGGACGTAGGACATAGTACTATTTTATTTTATCGTATTATAATAATAAGTCCCTAATTAGAAGTCCAGGTGGTAGCTTTATTGCGAAGAAAATGCATTTTTTTTTCAATAGATGTCGCTAGGTGCGCTAAATGTGATTCATGTAAGTTGCTTTTTCTGAGAGATAACTTTTTAATGTAATATAAATTGTCATGTTTGTGTACGATAGTGCAATTAATAAATATTGTATTCTACCACATAAATAGTACTTTTATACTGATAACTAAAGCAATTCATGCAAAATTATTTCCTAACCATCCAAAATATCAAAAATGCACAATGTTAATATTCAAGTTTTCACTTCTGCTGGTACTCAAGGAGTGCAACACGTCGTTTTTTTTTCTACTTAAAGGTTCTTTAGATTATAAGATTTAGAAGTTAAATGCTTAAAAGATATGATAAACATAGTAAACTCTATTCGCCAAGATGTCAGATCTTGGGCGAAATAAACACCCGCATTATTTACTATTTTGATTGTTCGTGACTGTCCTACGTGTGTAAATATTCTTCATGATAATGTTAATAATAAATACACACTCACCTGAAAATATTATTAATTTTGTGTTCAAGTCCGGTTCAGCACTACCTACAATATGGAGCTGCTTACAAATAATGAAGTCGAAGAAGTAATTAAACAACTTGGTTATACAAAATCATTTAACTGGACACTGAGTGAATTTTCTGAAACATTAGTTGGCTATCTGAGTGAACATCTAACGTTAACAGTAGAAGTGTTAACTGCGAAATTTAAAACAGAGCGAATTAAGTTCTTTATCAAATGTTTACCCAGATTTGACGAATGGAAAACGAGATACATAAAAGAATTATCATTTTTCCAAAAGGAGTATGTCATGTTAAATGATCTATTCAGAAAAATTGAACAAGGTAAGTAATGTAAAAGCTCAAAGTATTATTTTCTTGATATGATTTCAATCATAGAAGCAGCTTTTACGAAGCAGGAAAATTTTAGGACTTACTTATATTCCATAACAGTATATAATTTAAAGCAAATGCATTTACGTAAACATTATAGGAACCGCAAAAACATTGCGGGGACGAATGTTCTAAATTAATCATGTGTGTGTTTTCATAAAACATCACAAAACCAGTGTGCAGTGATTGTTGTATGTCTAGAATTTCAGTGTTATTTCAGAAATAGGCATGGTAATAAATTAAACTAAAAAATGGACAACCTTTCTGAAATGACGTAATGTATTTTTGATTTTGTTAGCGTATCCATAGATAAATTATTGGTCTCGCTTCACTGAAGCGATAATTTATCAACCCTTATTTGATTTCTTTATCGTAGGTAAGTAACCGGTAATGATATTTTGCAGGAACTTTTAAGTGGCGTCCAAGATGTTTGCTTGTCAGAGAAGATTTATTTGTATTTGAGGATGTTACTGAATTAGGATACCAAATGCCAAGTACCCGGAGTACGTTTGAATTAAACCAACTGAAGGCTTGCGTAATATCATTAGCTAAATTTCATGCCCAGTCGTACATATTTGAAGAAAAAAGAAGTAAAGAACTTAACAGACCTTATAGGATTTCAGATGAATACAGCGAATATCTAAAAGATCCTGAAAGATGCAGCAGTTGGAGGGATGCAGGAAGAAACGCAGTAATTGATTATTTAAAAGTTTATTCAAAACAGAAAGATAATCCTAAATTCATCAGTAACATAGAGTCAGTTATAACTACGCTATACGATATGGCTTTATCTCTAATGAAACCTAGTTCCAAGTATAGGAACACGGTGGTACATCGTGATCTATGGGCTAACAATATATTTCTTAAGAAGGACTGTGATGGAAACATCAATGCAATGTTTGTTGACTTTCAAACGGTCATATATTGCTCCCCAATGTTGGATTTATCCTCGCTTCTCTATTTTAACACAAACAGAGTTGAAAGAGCAAGTCATACTGGTGCTTTATTAGATTTTTACTATGAAAAATTGTCTGAGGAATTGTCAGCAGCACATATTAACGTTAGTACAATAATGGATAGAATGACCTTCAATGAGTGTTATAAAGACAGCGTTATATTTGCTATAATTCAAGCTTCGTTAATTGTGCCTATTGTGGTTATACAGTCGAAAACGAGAGATGATATATTACGCGAACCAGACAGTTCACATAGATTTTACGAAGTATCTCGGAGTAAAGAATTTATTGCAATTGCGCTGCAAGATGACTACTATCGTTACCGTGTAACTGATCTGTTTGAAGAGATTGTTGATCGGTATATCGTACAACCTGATGAATAAAAATAAATAAGTCACATTAAACAAAATTAGTTTTTTATTTTTAAAAATAAATTCTGTACATCTCTCAATAATTGTTTGGTCCCGAAATATGCAGTACTTTTGGATATAAATAACGTATATAAACACATTATAGTGTTATCTATCCTATGTAACTATATGTATATGTATGTACGAAAATGCTTGACCGTCGAAGCTTTCGGGCCGAAGTAAGGGCGTCTTGCCAAGGGCACGAAGCGACGAAGAGCGTAGTGGTACTAGACATGTAAAGCAACCAAGGTCCTTAGTCCACTCATTTGATTTGCTTGCCTGACCAAACATTTCTGCATCCTGCAAACTCGAATGAATTCACTAGATGATTCCAATCCCAACTGAGTTAAAAGCTCTACAAGTGTGAAGCTTCATGTTGTTACTTAATAGTGCATCGAGCCCGGGTTAACCCGATTTGGAAAAAACCCGATATTTTTCGGTTTTTAGGATTACAGGAAACTCGGGTTTTTCGGGTATTTTTAGTAAATTTATTGGAGTTTACTCCTTAAGAATCGATTTGCTTATATAAGGGGCCCGGTATGAGAAAAATGTGAGGAGTAAAATCTATCGATGAATGACCTCGTTACGTTTTTGGTGCGCATCCTATGTCGCGCAACTTTGACAAACAAAGATGACGGACTGACATTAATAAAAAATTTAAAATCTGAACTGAATTTAGATATTGTTTCTGATAGAGCAATGGGGACAACGAGGTATGGTACGACCATTGATGCGGTATTTTCAAGATTCGTGAACCACGTATCTACGAACGTCCATGTGTCTTATTTAGTTACCATAAACCACTTGTCACTGTAATTAATAATGCAGACAATATTGATTTAATTAATAGGTATTTAAAAAGATGATAATAGTCTGATAATAATAATTACATAATTTATCAACATTCCTAATGATATATTTATGCACATCTGAAATTGACTATTGTAAAAAGTTTAATGTAAAATATTTCGTCGACTAGTTATAATAAATGTATATGAAATGAATAAATATATATATTTATATATGTATATTATTTTCATTAATTTGTTAATTTACAGAATACCGGCGTGAAGCAGTACTTTGTGCTGTGATTCGCCGAGTGAGTGAGGCTACCGGAGGCCCAACCCCCCCCTTTCCTCATGATGGCGCAGTTAAATAGGATACCAGCTGTTTTCACGCTGGAGAATCCCCCTCTGGACGTCCATGCCCAGAACTGTTTCCTTCTGGACGTGGACGTCGAGGCTGTCCTTCGTATTCTGGGGAGGGCGAAACCGCGCTCAATACTAAAACTGCTCGAGGCCAGAGCAAGCGTCATACGATACCCCCTGCCATGTTTAACGTGGATTTCTGCAACATCAGGGGCTTACACTCTAACCTTAATGCTGTTCATTACCACCTTCAGACAGTGCAGATCCCATCATCTGAAATTGTGATCCTTGGTGATTTTAATGCCCATCTCTCCGAATGGCTTGGATCGCCCACTACCGATCATGCAGGCAGATCTGCTCACGACTTCGCCTTGGCCTATGGTCTGACACAACTGGTCACCTCGCCTACGCGAATCCCAGATGTCGAAGACCATACACCTTCACTGTTGGACCTTCTGCTGACTTCACATCCGGATAATTATAAAGTGTCCGTAGATGCCCCTCTTGGCTCCTCGGACCATTGTCTAATACGGAGTATGGTGCCACTCACTTACTCACCGTGGCCGCAATTTGCTGGCTGTCGTCGTGTGTGGCACTATAAGTCAGCAGACTGGGATGGGATGCGCACTTTCTTTTCATCCTACCCTTGGGGCCGGGTTTGCTTCTCGCAGAATGATCCCAACGTCGCTGCTGATTCTGTCGCCGATGTTGTCCTTCAGGGTATGGAACTTTTTGTTCCTTCCTCTGTGGTTCCCATTGGTGGCAAATCCCAGCCTTGGTTTGCTGTAAACTGGCATCTCGCCAAAAACAGATGTGTTCTTCTTCATATCAATGATATGCTTCAAATTGATGGCATTCATTGTTATGCAGACGACAGCACGGGTGATGCTCTATATACTGGCCGCGCTAACATATCACGGGAAAACGTCATCGAGTGCCGGAACAAACTTGTGTCTAAAGTGAAAACTTGGTTAAACCAAGTAACGAATTGGGGCCGACTTAATCTAGTCCAATTTAACCCTACGGTATACGCGTTCACCGCAAATAAAATACCATTTATCGTATCTCCTCTTTTTGAGAACACTCCTCTAACTGCCTCAGCTAGTATTGGAATTCTTGGCGTTGACATATCGAGCGACGCCGCGACGTCCAGTTTCGGGATCATTTAGAGGGCAAGGCCAAATTGGCCTCTAAGAAGCTTGGTGTGCTTAATAAATCGAGAATGTACTTCACACCGGCCCACCGACTGCAACTTTATAAGGCACAGGTCCGTCCTCACATGAAGTACTGCTCTCATCTTTGGGCGGGGGCACCCCAGTACCAGCTTCTCCCTTTGTATCGCATCCAGCGCCGAGCGGCTCGAATCGTCGACGACCAGGACCTTTCCGATCAGCTTGATCCTTTGGCTTTGCGTAGGGATGTAGCTTCGCTCTGTATCTTCTATCGCATTTATCACGGGGAGTGTTCTGAGGAATTGTTCGGATTAATTCCAGCTGCTGCATTTCGCCATCGTACATCGCGACAAAAATTTAATCCCCATCATCTTGATGCATGGCTATCCACAACCGTGCGTTTTTGTCGAAATTTTTTACCACGTACGACAAAACTGTGGAATGTATTGTCGCCAGCAGTGTTTCCGGACCAATACGACCCAAAAACCTTCAAAAAAAGAGCGTACTCCTTCCTTAAAGGCCGGCATCGCATTTGTGATACTCCTGGTGTTGCAAGTGTCCATGGGCGACGGTGATCACTTACCATCAGGTGAGCCGTCTGCTCGTATGCCACCTATAACATAAAAAAACCCTTTCATACAGTATCAATCTTTTTTATGTTAAATAAACTGTTTTTGCGGCTGGTTAGACTATCGAACTTAAGGAGTAAACTCCAGTCGTGCGTCGGAGCTGACACACACATTTTTTTTTTAATTTTTTATTAAGTATCAGACACTTTGAATGCAATAATAAAGGGAATAAAAACACGTTTTAATAAATCATTAGGTTAAAAAAAAATGGTTGCCTGTAAAGTCGGTTTTACGGGCGAAGATTTTACGTGACAACGTCTTTTTCTCGGTAGAATATTTATTGATATGAATATAATTAAATTGCACAATAGGAACAAGGAATTGAATGAAAATAAGAATTGCACAAATTTTAACTATAGAAATATATTTTGTTTACTAAAACATTGTACATGTAAACTTAAACTTAACACGAGAGACTCATCGTAACGTTACCGAGCGTTACACTTTTTCATAAGTGACTCCCAGCCGCAACCTAATTTAAGACGTTGTCACGTCAAAAAGCTTACTTGCTACTTTCTCCTACCATAAACAAGCAATGCAAGTTAAATGGAACTCGGGCTCTCATCCCAGAGGGTGAAATATGAGCAGTGGAGGCGGAGATGTAGTAAAGCTCATCGTGCGCTGAGCGAAAAGGCTTTAGTACCATAGACCACATCCATACTCTGCAGCAGGTCATACAGAAGACCACAGAGTATAATATCGGTTCCGAGGCCGGCTACCTGACACCACTCCGAGTCAGACGTCGCCGTCTATACGTGTAAATTAGGTTTCTACTAACATAGTTATTATTATTTTTTAATTAAACTAAGAGAAAGCCTTCGATTTGATTGAGACTTCGGCGGTGTTACAGTCTCCCCAAAGGTGTCAAGTACTACACACTAAACATATCGAAGTATTATGTTACCTAAGAGAAAAGCGCCTCTATATTTGCCAGGCTACTTAATCATTCTATGCAACTGCAGCTAGGCGTGAGAACGGAAGATGTTTTATCTCCGAAACTGTTCACAGCTGCTTTGGAGGATATTTTCATGTTTCTGGAGTGGAAAGAACGATGCATCAACATAAATGGCGAGTAACTTACATGTCTTCGTTTCGCTGTTCAGAGTGTCTCTAAGGTACTCCACTGGTTCAATGTTAATAATTTACTGCTAAATGAAGGGAAAACTAAGTGTTTGGAATTTGTATTACCTATTGTCAAACAGGTAGAAACTAATGTAAATATAGTAATTTAACAATTGAGCGTGATAAAAACGCGTTATATATCATATCGCGGTACTCATGCTTGGGGGGGGGGGGGTTGATTACCAAAGTTATCGGTCTCGCGCATTCATATACCTGCTAGCAGACACGGCGAACTTCATGTCGCCTGACAGTAGATGAATGTGATCATAGATATCCGTGAATGTGATTAATTTGAGGAAAATTTAAAAGATATATGCTGTCACGGACATTTTTATAGAACTTTTAAAGGGGAACAGTTTCCTCATACATGATTTTTTGTAACTTCAACCGTTTACGCAGCGCACGCAACGGAAGCTCACAAATGCAATATTTTTTCCCGTTTTCACAACATTTTTAATCGATGCTCCGCTCGTACTGGTCGTAGCGTGATGTTATAAAGCCTAGCCTTCCTCGAATAATGCACTATCCAACAAAAATAAATTTTGAAATCGGACCAGCAGTTCTGAGATTAGCGCGCTCAACCAAACAAACACTTCAGCTTTTTAATATGAGTATAGACGTAAAAACAAAATATGTCATTAATAAAAAATCAAAAAACCCGAATGCTTAAATATTACTTCAAATAAAAACTGAAAAGAAAAAAACAAGTCCAGTAGTCTATAATTCTGTTAAGTAAGGAACAAAGCTACTTGACAATCGGGACCCATTAGATATTCAAGGATGGATCAATTTTTTTCAATAATGGGTTCCGACTGTTAAAGTAGCGATGTTCCTTACATAACAGAATTATAGACTACTGGACTTGTTTTTTTCTTTTCAGTTTTTAATTGAAGTAATATTTAAACAGTCGGGTTTTTAGATTTTTTAAATTTACCTTTTTTATTTTACACTTTTTAGTTAGGATTATAAGACGGTATATACTACAGTCTTGTCACTTCAATAAGGGAGTTAATATCAAGCGGATTACTAAGTACCTTGCGGTGGTCTAAACGTCACCTTACCTTCAGGGTCAAGGCCTTATGGGCCTCAATTTTCGCAAAAATGTGTAAAGTTAAATCAATTCCTTATCCGTATATCTAATGAATGTAAATTATATACCTAACTAGTACTTATATTCCGTATTTATTAAAAAAATCATCTTTAGCTTATGTTCTTTTTAGTAGTAAATAAAAAAAATATTTACTTTTATTCGTCGACTATCTAAAATTGGCAGTGGCTGTATGCAACTCTAAGATTGTGATATACACAAATGCAGTGCATATCCTTGTCTCATAATTTGTTTTACTTACATAATTAACAGAACCAAATATGTAGGTGCCAGAGGTTAAATATTATTATCCTAACTATCTATACTAATAGGTAGGTATTATATAGAGGCAAGAGTTGTATGTGTGTAACAAATAATATCTTAAACCTGATCCGATCTCGAAAATTCATTCACCATAAGGTAGCTAGCTACATTATTTAATATGTTTTTAAGCATTAATCTCAATAAGTTGATTAATCTTTTATAAAACTAAAGAAACTTTTACTTGAAAAATTCTAACTACTCCTAGAGGATGTTTTTTAGTATTTTTTTTTCTTTATAACTACATTATATTCGAGTGACATAGGCTATATTGTATCCCGTTAAAATAAATTTCGCCCGTGCAATGTCGGAGCGGATCACTAGTATAATATAATATTATAGATGCGAAAGTGAGTTTGTTTGTTACGATTCCGCGCCTTAATAGTTAAATCGATTATGATGAATTTCCCTATAGAAATAGATGGGGCCTCGGTTCTAAGCTACATTATTGAAATATCTATAGGGGTAGGGTGATGGGAGGGGAGATTTACCTATAAAACTTTATATTATTTGCTTCCAATTTTGCTGAATTATCTGCAGAATAATATGAAGTAATATCGCTGAATTAAACTTTGAAAACCGTTTCATTCTCAGTTTTTCATTAAATTTTAAAAAATTATAAATACCTATTATTATAACTTATTTTTCATCATTTAATAAGAAGGAACTTTATCACAGTTTTATTGTAAGTATTTCGCATAGGATTAGATACTGTGAGTAGCCCATTTTTTTTCTTTTCCTCCTAGCTTTTATCTACGTTTATAAACACCAAAATTCATCAGTTTTCCCACCATTCCCGCAGTATACTCGAGCACACCGCACTATCACTTTGTCATCGTAACATCGTTGTAACTTTTTAAATATTTGTCGAAATTACACAGAGTAAAGGGCAAAGTTTATCGTCTTTAAATATTAAAAGCGATAACAGTATTTGTTTTGTTAAAAAAATAATTTGTTTATACAAAATATGCATTTTGGAAATTTATTTCAAATTTTATTTTTGATTCACTATTTTAGCTATAATGGCTTACATATTAAAAATAGATATATGCTGTCCTGGCCTTTTTTGTAGAACTACAAAAGAGATACAATTCCGCCATACATTATATTCATACAACTTTTATTGTTTTTGCATTGCAGTGCAGGCCAAAATGGCTCGCAGATGGGAGATTTTTTCCGTCTCACGTGACACTTATTGTTTAGATTTTGGCTAATTCACTAAATAACAACATAAATTATAATCTATATGCTATTATTATATATGAGCTTTATTATTGGTTAGTTTGATTAAAATCCATTTAGTATTTTTTGAGTGAAAGAGTTACAAAGTTCCATAAAAACGTAAGATTGAAATTAAAAGCGCAAGTGGTTAATATACAACTTTAAATCGTTGTAGATCCTAAACAATCATATAAAATAAAACTAGTTTTTACGGGTTAATGCACGAAACTTTATTTATTTATTGACGTTTCGCAGCCTTTTCAGGTCTGCATCGTCAGAATAATGATTTTATTTAAAATTGTCGAGCTACCTAGGTAGCTAATGAGTGATGTGCGTGAAAACCTAAGAAACAAATAAATCATATAAAATGAAAAATGGTGTGAGGAACCTAAACATGATTGATTTTTGATTATTATCATATCTTTAGTAGCACTCCCATGATTAAGACGAATCGATTGATGTATAAATTATCAAAATCGATCCACGCGTTTGGTCTCTAGTATGCCACAAAGGAACAAACATTACACTGTTATACATATAGACTGTTAAACACTATACCTTGTCTGCGCGTCGCGCTTCGCGCTCTTGCATTGCGCAGTCGGGTAAAAATTACGTACCTAACTTTGTAGACATATTTATTTTTTGTCTCCGTTCAGCCGTTTTTGTGTGACTACGTAATAAACATAAATATATACAAACTTTCCATTTTATGATGTTAGTAGGATGATAAGGTGTATTTTTTTCCAATCCCACCTGATGTTAAGGTAACGATAATGGATCTCCAGTTGCGAAGATAGTGGATAAAGCATCCTCACCTTTCCGACCAGAACATTAATACTTGCCCCGTACACTAAAATAAATTTTAGTGGTGTTGTATTGCTATTGGTAAAGTTAAATGGCTCCTAACTTTACCAATAGCAATACAACACCACTTAAATTTATTTTAGTGATGTTTTCTGTTACTTTTTACTGCCGGTTTCTGTAGGCTACTACTACTTACCTCTCCCGACGGGCACTTCAATTCAAGCGGAAAATCCACTATGGCCTACGTCCCATCATATAGGTACTTATATCAGATACATATCGTCGACTGTGTTTCTATAACTACTGTTTATTTTCTGATTAAATTTCTCATAATATCTTCAATATTTGATGTACAAACACAATTATGCTAGATAAGGTGCACCAAAGTACTTGATTTTATACAAATAAGATGAGCAAAGAATAAAGTGTTATCTAATTACGTATTTTAGTTTAACATGTAACATGTAATAGGTAACAGTCTCTGTTTACTGTGATCCAAAGTAAAAATAAATAATAAGCCGCAATATCAATTAAAAATGGAGGTATCGAAAAACCTAAACATTCGCCATTTAAATCATATTACGGAAGAAGACGTAAAAATTATTGTAAAAAAATGTGGCTTTACAAGCGATGAGATATCAATAAAAGATTATACAGTGAATATTGCCAGTAATAAAATGTTGGGATTTCTCTCGGATTATTGGAAACTCAAAGTTCACCTTTCGATAAATGAAGTTGAAAACAAAGTATTGTGTTTTTTCATTAAGGCAGTCTCCAAAACTAATGCAGCTAAAGCAAACATGGTCAAGGAAATGAATCTATTCAAGAAAGAAATATTTTTTTATACCGTTCTAAAAGAAAAGATGATGGTGCCTGGTAAGTAATGTTAAAATAGATGTAATTAAATTAAAGAAGCGTACAACGATTTGAATAACATTGATTTAATATATTTTAGGTTTGAAACCTTGGAGTGCTATATTTGTGACATCGTTGGACGAAGCCATGGTGTTAGAAGATTTAGACACTTTACATTACAAGAGTTGTGATAAATTTCTAAGGTTTGATACGCCTCACACGCTACGTGCATTAGAAACTTTAGCCAGATTCCATGCCTCTTCTATTATACTCGAAAGCAGAAAATCAAAAATTCTTGGACGCCCTTATATCATACACAACGAATTCGAACAGTTTTTGGACCAAGGTGGATATAAAGAAACTGATATTTGGTTCCAACAGTGCCTGAATGGAGCTCTAGAAGCGGTCAAATCATATTCGAAATACTCCACTGACAAATATATCAGACAAATAGAAAGCAACTGGACCAATATTTGGTTGTCTGCCTTATCTTTGAGCAACTTTTCTTCTAAGTATAAAAATGTTATCTGTCATCGTGATTTATGGAATAATAATATTTTATTCCATTATGAAAAGGTTGATGAAACATTGTTGCCTGATAACTGTGTTATGGTGGACTTTCAAGCTATCAGGTGCCAGCCACCCGCTGGGGACGTTATGCTTCTGTTATATTGTAATTTAGACCCTACGTTTAGGGAGGAAAATATGAATATGTTTCTAAGCTATTATTACAAGGCGCTTAAAATAATACTTGAGACTTGGGATATTTCAATAAGTGATATTTTAACTGAAAAGGAATTCCTACAATCAGCCGAAGAACAAAGACTATGGGGCCTTGTAGTATGCGCTTGCCTGATACCACAATTTTGGATAAATGAAGATCTAACGACCGAAGTATTCACTGATACAGCTCGATTTGAGGATATAATGTCAAAAGATAAAGGTACTTTTATTAAAACAATTATGGAAGTTAATACTGATTACAAGGAAAAGGTTCTAGAAATATTTGAGGAGATAATAGAAAGATATTGTCTACCTGATTATCTCTGAATCTGGCTGGACTTACATTTATGTGATAATATTATATCATACATACATGAATGATGGTTCACATATTCTTTGTAAATTAAGATGCTTTCGATGAAATAATGTTTTTACCGCTTTCGGTTGATTCTTGATTATGCTTAAACCTTTTGTAACTCCAATTTGCGTTGGGCATAAATTTATTGTTCTCAAGTCTACGCGTACCAAACTTTTTATACCAATAGTCATCATTTCTTCGGTTATAAATACTACAGAAAGGTCGGATCAACAAAATGTAGAGAAGTTCTACAAAGCTTAAGATACTGGCTCCTAAGAATAGGCCACCCGTTCCTCCAGTTGACACTGTAAATAGAACCACTTTTAAATCGTACATATTTTCGTTTAAAAATGTATAAGTAAAAAACATATACTTTCATAGTTATCTACTCTTTTATGTGTTTTATTAAATTGCCTATATATACGGAAGTATACAGCATTAATTTTAAAATACCGGTAACCTCTCAGTACTAGATAGCTAACATCATACACAAAAATATTTGTTCTACGAATTATAAAAATTCGTTACATTTTATTTTCATACAAAAATAAATATTATGTTAATTTACCGCCCGAATGTTATTAACTCTACAGACCAATACAGACACGTGGAATCGGGGGTGAAAAAGGGCGCACGGGTGAGCAGGACGCGGCGCTAGCGTTCTCTCTTATCTTCATAGTCTGCTCTGGGCTTTCTGCCCACTTCAGAGGGGTCGGTTTCGCACCTCGTCTTCGGGACGGGGTGGTCGTTGGGGTCCACCCCCTACGCGTCTTCACGCGTCGCCCTCGGCGCGGTCAAGCCTGCGAGGACCTGCGGGCGACGGTCTTAGCGCGCGGGGGTAGGCGCTAGCGTTTGAACATGGTTGACCTATTTATTTATCTACACGTAACGACGTATAACGTAAATCGTTTTCACAGATTTTGGAAGATAATATAGCTGTGTTTGTTTTCTATTGTTTAATGTAGTTAGTAAATAATGAAGTTATTGTGGATTCAGTCTACCTAGTGCATACAAGCTACGTGAGCAATTAACTATGTAAGTAAAGTATCTGGAAAATAAATACAATATTAATATTAATTATTGGAAGCGCGCGAGCGATGCCCTTTTGATTATGAAGGAAGCATAGACGTAAAAATGTCACGACAGTATATGAAAAACTTAGAATTTTAAGCTATTGTATAGCTTTTATCACGGGCTTGAGCGCGGCGACCGAATCAAGAAATTCCGTTACGAAAAAGAGTGCATATACCAATACAACACAATTTTTGCTATTCCAGTATCAATCTAAACTTTGCCGCGGTACCAACGTTCGACGCATCACCGCGGTCGTCAGTTCAAATCCCGCACTCGGATTTTTATTTTATTTTTATTATTTTTTTCCTTTTTTTTATATATTTGTTTTAGACCCCAGCATTTATAATTTAAAATTTTGGACTAAAGATGCTAAACTGTGGAGCTTGTGGAAGTTATTTGGCGCCGGCCAATGCTGTTGTTTGCTGTGCTTTGTCAATAAAATATAATAAGGCCTGCCTCGCCATCCCGGAAAAGTCGCGGGTCAGCAAGGACTGGATATGCCTGAACTGCAAGAACAACGAGCATTCGCCTGTAAAGGGTATCAGCGAATCTTCCGAGCCCGAATAACCGGTTGCTGCACGGGAACCTGTCGACCTGGCCAGTGGCCTAATCACACCAGTGATATAAAAAGTATGCTGGCCGACTGCATGAAGGAGATGAGGGAATTCCGCTCGGAGATGGCGGCCTTCCGCAGTTCTTTTACCGCTCGACTTGACTCCTTCGAGTAGAGAATTGCGGTGTTAGAGCAGCGTCAAGTGGATCCTGATGCAACTGGTAGGATGGACATGGAGCGCACCATATCCGAGCTGCGCGCCGAGGTTATCGACCGCGATCAGGAGGCGTTGATGTCCGTCCTGGATATCGGCGGGTTGCCCGAAGAGAGGGGCGTCAGCGTGTAGCAGAGCGACACCATGCTTGCCGTGCGGCTAGGAGTGACTCTCGACAGGCGGGACTTGGTGTTCGCCGAGGCACGGCCGCGCCGTATGGAGGTGCGCCTGGCGTGCCGCCAGCCCAGCTGCTCTGGGCGCACCGCAGGGTCACTGTTGCGAAGGGCGGCCTTCCGGCCGCGGATTCGGAGGACGGCGCCCCGAACACCGCTGATGAGGGCGGCGCTCGGGTCTACATCAACGAGCGCCTCACGTGCCCCAACCGCCAGCTTATATAACTCCAAGCAAGCCCTGCCAGAATATTTAGCATAATATTTATTTTATAAAAAATAATTTTCTTTCTTTCTTTCTTTCTTTTAACACCCCTCACTCCGATCGGCACAGCGGTGCGGCGTTGAAAGCCGTGCATAGTCTAACGTCGTTTCAGTTCGGCAGACTTCGGCACGGTTTTTGTGTGCGTGCGACTAGACTTATGCGTGTAGACTAGCTGCTAACTGCTCATAACTGATTTTATCTCTTTTAGACACAATGCTAGGTGAGACAGCGTGCTTTTTGGCCGCATCCACGAGTGAGTTCGAGCCCGCGACTAGTTGAACCTTAACGTGCATGACTATGGTATGACTGTAAGAAGCTCGCATGTAAGATTATAAAAGTATTTTAAAGAATATGAACTTTTCATTTATTCAATAAAATAAAAAAAATGTTTTCTTATCGGTCACCACGCTCAAAAAGTGTAACATGAATTAATATCAAAGAAAAAAACTGCATTAATAAATAATTATAATTGCATAAGTTGATAAAAAATGCTATGCAATAGCTTTACCGCGGCAGTCCCCGAGTGCCACTCGTATTTTTTTTATTGATCAAAGTATTGAGTTATGTTAAAATTCGTAGAACAAATGTTGTTATGTATGATGTTAGCAATTTAGTCCTGCAAGGTTTCTGGTATTTTAAATTAACTCTGTATAAAGATTTATTATCGCTTATATCAGTTTATAGTGATTTCATCAAATACTAATTCTATGTTTGTGAACTGTACCCACCCACTAAATCTAGTACTCCTCGCACCACATTCCTCTTGTATCTCTCGCTTGGCAACATCGCAAGACCGATCTCGACGGAGGCAAAACTTTCAGAAGTGACTATCTTGAAGTCTTTCACTGTGGTTATTTCAGCTTCTGTGCACGATGGTAAACAGTTGCAGTATAAACCGGAACGTGACGACCACTCAGCCTTTAAAACCTGTTAAAGTAAAGTCCTTAAATAACAGCTAAGAGAATAGAATCATTTGCTTGCGTTTATAAACATTGATTTTTTTATGTTAAAAGGGTGGCAATCAAGCGTATGGCTGGCCTGATAGCAAGCAGCAAACATAGCCTATAGCAAATAAATATCAATAGCACCGATGCCTACCCTGAACCAATCCCCTACCTAGAGCCCTGGAACCTTACTCAGCGGCAGAAACACAACACCACCAAAATGTAGTGTTATTTAACTGTGGTGTTCTTTAAGGTTACTTCCCCAGACAGGCGCTATCCGCCCTACCTCTCTTTAATATACACGAGATAGGGAATACCTCCACCTTGCGAAAAACCACAATAAAATAACATTACCTTACCTAACAGAAACCCAGTACCACCTTGGTGGTACCTACTGGGTTTCTGTCGCTAAGGTTTCATGGCTCCACGGGTGTAGGTAACGACGCAAGTACTGAGATTGAGTGTCGCAAGTGCTTGTAGGCTATATAGCGGTTGCTTACTTTTAGGTGGGCATCCATAAGCTTGTTTGCCACCCTTTTTACATAAAAAAAATGCTTTGTACTACTACTTATTGTCAAGTAATATAAAGAATGTCACTTGGGAAAGCCTGCAGGTACCGCAACAATTTATAGGTTACGGTGACCGCTTACCATCAAGGGGGTCTTATGTCTAATCTAGATGTATGAAAAATCCTAGCAGCTTGTGCAATATAAGCCTGACCCCTAGGCCAGGCACATCATCAGCCTATTAATGTCCCCACTACTAGGGTCACTGCCTAGGGAGATTGGGCTATGTTGAACATGACCCACTAGTGTGGAATGGTGGGTGCTGATGACTGCAGATGCAGCCGGGACCAACGGCTAAACGTACCTTGCAAAGCATGGAGGAGCTCTAGATAGTAAATATTTGGTTACCCATCCAATGACCGACTACTGCGAAAGTTGCTTAACTTCAACGATCGCAGCCGAACGCGCTTACCACTTACGAGCTCCTCTTCCACAGGCCAGACTCGCGGCTCCTGAATCTAGATGTACCTAGCAATCATTAACTTACAGATAGAACATTGACGTGGTTATTCAGACACATGATGCCGCTGATGTTGCATTTCATGTATTCAGGGACATTGGGCATGAAGAAGTTAGTACAGTTGCACAAACGAAGTTGGGCGTTCTTCCTGCACTGCACAGTGCATGCTGTGTACGAGTAGTGTCGGTACACTTCCAAGAAGTTCTCGTCGGTGTAGCGGCACTTCCGTTTCTCTGGCTTGATCATTCTGGCACTGGCATCGTTCTCGATGTTGCGTATCGTGATTAAGCGTCTGAAGAGGAAATAAAAACATCTGAAGCCCAACCACGAACTTTAACAGCGCTGAAATCGCATCGTCATCATCAAATTTTGTATGGAAACAGCCAGCTTATTCTTACACGACCGGTAGGCCCGTTCCGCTATCCAGGTTTCATATAAACTTAACGATGTGATACGATTACGGAGCAATAAAATTTCGTGCTTGAGCCTCTGTTTAAAATGTTAAATGACCAAAAAGCAGTACCGAGTGTTATTACTTTTTGTTCAAGTTAAAGCTTATATATTTCTTATTGTCAAATTTGATTCCATTTATCCTGCTAGTTATACCTCTGGTACAGTTCTGGACTAACAGCCAAAATATCCGAGCTCATGGTAGTTAACGAAGGGATTTCCTCTTCATTGAGTACGTATATATTAGCAGTCACCAATACATCGAACTTAATAGTTCCCGGGCCCGTTGTTCTGTTGCTGATCATCGGCAATTTTGGAGGATGTTTTTCACTGCAAACGAGACTTTGATATATGTACTTTGATTATTATGTAGGGTTTTGTATTGATACCACTTCAGCCACGGAGGTTGTCGTTATGTTGTTCTTTTGCTCCGATTCGCGTATATTATGAAAACAATTTCACTTCTCGCAGTCGGGAGCTACAATTTTCATTATTTTCTAATATTTATGGAGTCCATAAAAATTGGATATTCATAATTTCGTTGTGTATTTCAGTAAAAAAAAACTCCATTTTGTAGTTGCCGCAAAAAAGTTTTTCTGCTCACTAGTATGTGACGTCACACAACTGTCATTAAAACGTCAAATTATAGGTACAATGTAGTGTCACTTTGGCCGGAAGTTTACTAGTGTGTGACGTCATTTTAGTCTTGGCCAATCCCGGGGTGTTTTTGGTCACGTGACCATGGAACAAAAAATTATTTTCACCTTAGCAGCTCAAACATACTGGGTTCCCTGCTTAATAAGAGTGAGGGAAATGCGTTTTCCCTGCTCTCGTGAGGGAAAGTGATTTGAATTTAGAATGCTGCGAATTATCATTATGTACGAAACACGTCATTCGAAGTTCAATTTATCAAATTTCAGAACACCCAAACAATAAAACGTTCGGTAACTAATAAACCTTTAAACTGAAAATTATTTGGAAACGTTGTAATTAAATATCTAATTAATTATATAATAAAATATAATGAATACACTGAAATAAAGAAAATGTTTTAGAAAAAATACGAAGTAGTTATGCACAAATAATTTATAGTTTTCAAAATCTTTATTGGTACAACAGAATACTACGGGTGCAGTTTCAGAACGTAACTTTAAAAATAGCGGGAAACAAAAATCAATATTATTTCTTCTTCCTTTGTTTTTCGGTAAGTAACTACTTACAATTAGTATTGCATATCACAAATTCATAAAATATGAGTGAGTCTAGTGACGAAAACAGCAATTTAACACCTGAAGAATTAAAACAACAAGTTTTGAATGCTGAATTCAGTTTTCTTCCTCAGAAATCATGTGATAGATATCTGAAAACCTATGATGTTTTCAATAAACGGAGACTTGAAAAGGGCGCGAACACATTCTCGGAGAATGTTTTATTGTCGTACTTCATAGAATTATCACAAACGAAGCAATCACCTACAATGTGGAGTATTTATTCGATGTTGAAAGCTACAATAAAGACAAAACATAATGTTCATATTGAAACTTATCCTAAATTTATTGCATTTTTGAAAAGAAAGTCTGTGAGAAATATATGTGAAAATTGTCGAGAAATATAAGGCATTACGACCTGATAATACGAAAACAGATCGATTTTTCTTGCAGTATCGTAATGACAGCTCATGGGAATCAATAAAATAGGCGGGACACCACAACAAATAGCCACTTTTTAACTTTTTTAACACGTCATGGCGGCTGGAAGTCAAACACGGTCGCGGAAGGATATATTAAGGATTCGATCGAAAATAAGTCTAAAACCTGTAAACGCATAATACAAAGCATAAACTTTAAACCTGATCCTTATGCACACCCGCGCCCCTCTACTTCCAAAGACACAAATATCATTGAAAATTCGGTAAGAAGCCGCACCGAGTCGCCAACGTTTACTAATAGTATTGTCTCGTCACAGTCCAATAAAGAAATAGAAACGAACTCGAGTCAAACTCAAATCACAAACTCCACGGTATCACTTCCTAATAAAACTATAAATTTTCAAAATATAACTTTTAATAACTGCAAATTTAAATTTTAGTAGATACTTATTGTTTGCAAATACATGTGGATTCATTTTTATTCATATTGTATCTTTTTATCTCTAATAATGTTCTCGCTGCTAAGGTGAAAAGTTGTATGTGTCACGCGAGAGAAAAGTTATTTCCATCTCGTACCTTGGAATCCTTCGCTTACTCGGGATTCAAAATTAGCACTCGCTTGGAAAACCAACTTTCCTCTCTAGTTGAACAAATAACTATTCTATTTAATGATTTTTTAGAAGTTTTTTAATTATTTGTTCTCTCAGAATAGTAAAATCTAATTTTTAATTTTATGCTAATCCTGATCTTGATACAAACGAATCGGTGAGTATTTTGATTCATGCTATAAAATCTTCTACCTTCCTTGGATGGTGTTGATTGCTAGACATATCCCGAGTTCTGTCTCCATCGGTCTAAAATAATCGCAGCAGCTGAATGGAACGTTATTCCAGGAGCAGTTGGTCAACGTACTTTCGCAAGTACTACGGACCTAGTATTAAAAAATCCAAATTTATAATTTGTTATGAATAATTAACAAATAAATTATAAACAAACAACAACTGCTTACCAAATTAGCGTAATAATTGAAATTGCTAGAAAAACATTCCGGTAAAGGATTTTCTAAGCCACAAAATTCGGACGTGTAATAGGTAGTTCCTTTAAAAAACGCAAGCTCTTTCAAAACTTCCTCCATATTAAAGTCATGATCTGGTCCCCATAATCTGAAAAAATAACGAAAAATCAAATTAACTTTTATTAATTTTAATTTTCTCTAGCAAGCAGATCAAATTGTGAAGAGCGTTACCGAAATACTCAAGTCGGCCATACAAGAAACTTGTTTCCCTCTCTCCAGAACATACTAGACTTCCACTCTCACTCTACTCCTTCTTTCCAACTTTTACAATTTCTTACAGGCCATGCTACGCATAGAACCTACCTTCATAGATTCTTAATATCTTTAAAGGATTCCTGCCCTTGTGACTCCATTACTCAACAAAGCCACATTCATCGTCTGCCATAATGCCCGCGATTTTCCTTCCAGCGCCATTATAAAATTTAATATTTAACTATAACTCTTATTAAACATGTGACCTTATATTTTCTTTTATTTTTTTATATTTTGTTTGTTTATTTTATCATCAAGTTATTATAGTGTCTCATAGGCAGACGCGGCTTGCGGCCGCGACCACTTAATATTTAAATGTATTTTGTTAATGGCTGTAATTTAAGCATGATTGTTATTTTCTACTGATATGATTACAAAATAATAATAATTTTGGTAATGTAAAGACAGCCCAACGTCGAGTCAAAGGTCGGGTTGCCAGAAGCTGTAAAATTTTGTTAAAAGGTTATAAACCTCATTTTAAGTGACATAAAGCCTAAAGTCAGCTGGAAATTTGAAGGCTTTTGGTGTCTCGGCCTGTGGATGTCTGTCTGTACATATGATTACAAAGCTAAGGAAACTATTATGTATTTATTTAGTTATGTATTTTGCATCTCACATAAACTACTAATCATTTCTAAGCGGTCAGGTCCCTTGTCCAGCATTCATTTACTTGTCAGGTAAGGGGTTTGACCGATTCAACTTCATTTCTTACACTGTTCTTACTCCCATCCTTTATACCTTTTATTTATTTTCTATTTCGTTTCCTCTCCTCTTCCTCTCGCCTCTCACTATTAATAAGCCGCCTCTCCTCTTCCTCTCTTCCCCACCCAAAAGACCTCCCTGGCTGCATCTCCACGCGGCTTCGGATTCTAATGGGCCTACTCTAATATCCAACTATCGAACTCTCTACATCACATCATAACAAAACCCGTCATCAACTTATAATGTAATTAATAAATAAGTGAATAAAAAAAGCAGAGCTAATCAAAACCTTCGTCCTTTCTTTATGCGGTTTAATTTTGGGCGTTAATTTTGGATATAAAGCCAGTAGATGAAAGATAATAATTAAACTTTTGCTGCGAACATAAGTCAAATAAATAAATAAGCTAACAAAAATATCTTCGGAGAAAAAGGTAAGCTGATTTATAAAATAACATTATGGATATGATATGGATTACCTACAATGCGAAGAGATGGCGCTGCCTTGTAGCTTAAGGCTAGGAAAATTTCGACGCGGCGAATAGGGCCGTGGTAGCATAATGGTCAGTGCATTCGCCCGGATAGCGAAGGGTGCGGGTTCGAGTCCCGTCCGCTGCCTGGTCCGCGTGGATTTTTTTCTAGTAAACTTTTCTTTAGATTTAAACATCTAGCAGTTAAATGCTTAAAAAATAAATAAAAACATAACTATAACACTATAATTTTTAATCGACAATAAAAAAGCAAAATCGCTATTCGCCAAAATTATTTAACCTTTATACTCAGTTTTTTTTAAGCGTCGATCTGTTTAAGTTTCGTTAAGATTTGAGCACTTTTTGGCGTTTAAAGGTTAATATTTTGTTATTTTAAATAGTTTATAACGCTGAAGCGACGTTTACTCAATAAAGACCACACGCCCCGATAGGGGCGCGCTCGAAAAATACCGCACGGTCGATCACCGCACGCCCCGATCGGGGCGCGCTACCCACGGTACTATAAAGCCGTTTTTTGTGATAGTTATAGCCTACTTTTGTATTAAAAAGTTTAACCATAGATTAACTTGGCGAAATGACCTATATATAGAGCCGTAAAGTTTAAATAGCCCGCATGAATTTAAAGTTTAAAACCCCAAGCAGTTGTTTTTGAACCAACTATTTGACGTGTGATTTGATATTTGCTTGACGGAAAATATACGGACAGCCGAGTGATTTTTGGCATCTAATTCATAAATTAAGACGCTGTGTGTAGTTGTGTAGGTATTTAAGGGGGTGAAGCAGGGAAAGTATGTGGCGGGTACTGTCAGTCACCCCGCGCAAACCCCGTTGGCGTTCACAGTTGAATAGCTTTGCACAAACGAAGCTGGGCGTTCTTCTTACACTGCAGAATGCACGCTGTATACTAATAGTGTCGGTACACTTACAAGAAGCTTTCGTCGGTGTAGTCCCTTTTTGTTTTAATCTAAGGGTGTAGTAGCGTACTGAGCTTACAAGAATGACTTACTGAATGACCAGTAATGACACGCAAATATAGTTTGATTAAAAATTAAGTAAATAATAAACATATCGAAATTTTATTAAGCGAAATCTTAGATTTATTAAAAAGCTACCTAAAAAAGCAAGTTCCGTGTTTATATTCATATTAGTTTTTAAGTTATTTGATTCGTAATTATAAAAACGATTATTGTCTAAAGACAAAATCTATCGAGAAAATTTTCGATAATCATGTTTACGGGCTAGTAAAAGTTTTGCTTAGGAACTGAAGATATACATATATAAAAATCACATATACAGCATCCATATAGGTATTCTATTAACAGCTTCAAAAATGATGATTTGGCAACCCACAGAGGCTTAAAGCTGCTATGTTATTTTTTAAAAGAAGGCGATTTAGAATATTTTTTTATGAATAAGTTTTTAGTTTTTGTGCTCCTACTCCTCATAAGTTTTGATTTTTTTGTGAAAAAAAAAGTTTATCGGCGATTCCGTAAAATTACCTATAGTGGCGGTTTCCGATTTTGTTTTTCCACTATTGATAAACAATTTGCATTCTTTACACTGAAAAAGCCAGTGTTAAGGATATAATCCGAGGGAAAAAGGTAAACTTGAACCCAGCAAATGATTGGTGATAACCACAAACAAGATCAAAGCTTTTAAGACAACGATCACAGATAAGAACCAAAATGCAATCTTCAAATAATAATAAATGCTCCTTACGAATCAGATATGTCTTCTATGCGTTTGGTGTTGTCATTCTCACACACAGCCACTGAAGGGAACTGAGTATTCCAATCCTTGTACGTTGTTTCAACGACGAAAGATATCGGATGATTTTGAAAAGCGTCATACTGGGCAACGATGAGCAGAAATGAACCATACCAGGACATACCCACAAAAACTAACCAAAAAATTCTGTGAACAGGAGATTAACAACGACTTATTTATCGATTACCAGATTTATTTTAAACTTTTATAATATTTAAGACCTTTAAGAGGTTAAGTTTGCAGCTGGCGAATTCTTGGTGTTCCTCTCACATTTAGTCCGAGATGTGTTTCATGACCCTTTGTATGAATAAATGTTTAGTAATATAAGAATCAGCGAACGAATAAGTACAATATAGGACCACGCACTTATTTCTCGCAAAATAGGGTAACTTTCATTGTTTCTAGCTTACCTCTAAGCTTGACACTAAGCGAAGCTCTTTGTAGGGTTAGCACCTTTAGCCTATGTAAGACATTAAACATCGCACTTTGTTAGCAACTCCATCTGATTGAACTTTTTTCATCTTCATGTATTATATAAAGGTTCATAGTTATTATTTGTTGTAACTTTATATCATTCTACGTACCTTTCGGTCCAGTGTCGTTTGTTATCAGCAATAAACCTAAAGCCATGAATAGATGTGGTTTCTGGTAGACTTCTTATACCGTCCCACCATATTCCAAAAGATTCCTTAAGAGACCCCGCAAACATGTCTCCTATTCACAAAGCATGGAAAATAAAACAACAAAGCATCATTTTATTCTTTCTATTAATATAAGTAGGTGTTTTGTATACATCAATGTTACATTCGTGCGTCAGCACAATTAAAAACAATTCGAAATACAAATCGTATTATAATAACAAATAATAACAAGTCTAATACATGAAAGCATATAAAAGAGATTGTATCTTATTGAAACTCGTACAGGTGCTTGATTTTCTGTTCTGATTATGACTCATTGGTTACAAACGTAAAGTAGGTATCTACAACCTTATACCTCAGTAGCATATAGTCACTGATTGGCGATAAATCTGACCTAGGTAGGTATTTATTGAACTTAATGATTATCTCTTACCAAAAACTTGGTAATAACTCGCATATTGCTCCTTAAATATTTTAATGATTTTCTCTTCATAAATCAAAATATTTATAAATCTAAAGAAAATTTTACTAGAAACAATCCCACGCGGACCAGGCAGCAGACGGGATTTAAACCCTCACCCTTCGCTATCCGGGTGAATGTACTGACCCTTCGCATTGTAGGTAACCCACAATGTCAAATGAATACCTTTACATCTATTAAACATTTGAAAGAAGAAATAGCAATTATAGTTTTATTTTATTTTGGACCAGAAGTTTGCTGCCTGATCCGCGTGGAATATTTTGTAGTAAAATTTTCTTTAGATTTAAACATCTAGCAGTTTAGTGCTTATTTAGTGCAATAACATTCAGAAAGTTGAAATGATCCTCAAAAAAATGAAAAGTAAATTGAAAAGTTATTACAGGGTTTTTCACGATGAACAATAGTTTTTTGTTCATTTCACTTGTTTTATTTTATAATCAATCACAATCAAAATCAAATCGTGCGACCATTTTATTTAAGGAAACAGGAAGAGAGCGAGCTATAGATTAGAGAGGCGACCATGGAGGCGACCAATCGACCATAGATTATGAACATTACTCGAATCAATGTACCAATATCTCAAAATAACTAATCACTAAAAAAGAACAACTGCCATCCTAACTTAAACTTTAGGTTTGCAGTTCTATTTTTTTTATCATTTCCTATATTTTGAGGATCTTTTAAATATTTTCCATTCTTAAATAATTATCATTGGACCAGTCAGCGAAATCAAAAGACCAAAATTATTATGGACAGTCGTGATCTTTTGCTGATTGTAACTAAGAAGCCTTTTACTAACTTAGAAGCATATATGAGCGTGAGTTACCGTCATGTATTTTTTTAACGTTTGCACAATCGCTTCACGTTAGGCCATTAAACCGCTTCATCAATATTAATTATAATATAATTATCTAACATAAAGTACATTCTTTTATTTAATTTGGTTACGCGTGATTGATATTTATAATTTGATTGAATTTTGATTGACTGATGAAACTTATTGTTTTGCATAATTTATTTAAGTAAAACTTCCTATTTAAGGAAGCTATTTATCTGACATTAGGATTACTTAAGGACATGTGATTTTTTGAAAAAAAAATAAAGATATATTAAATATTGTAAGTAACCTTTTTGGAATTGATAAAATTTTGCAACTTAGGTTCATAAATGCATGCGCTAGGAGCTAGTTCGTTCCAATAAATCTGTCTGTATATAGAAATTGGTTTGTGCTTAGGTGTGTTTGTAACAGTTGCATTCCCTCTCTTAGTCCTGATTTCTCGAAACAGTTTCACGGTGAAGAAGTAGATGAATTCCAAAACGGAAACGAAACTGAAGCCAGTCACAAAGCCACAAGTAGAACCGATGTTACCTGTCAAATAACATATTATATTCAAAAAATGTTGACATAATAAGTACTTCTTATCCAGGACTAATGTAAAGCGATTATGTGAAATATGTGCCGCAATAACCATCCCAACCTAACCAAAAAAGTGCTTATTCACTCCTTCAAAGATCCCAGGTTATACCTATCTAGTTAAAGATGTGATAATTTCATTTTTTAATAGTGCAACAGGCAAGAGGAAATATTCGAGACCCTAGCAAGTTAAGCTTCTGTATAACTGAGCACTCACTTATTAAGTCGAACCATTTCATAATGACATTTTGTCCGTAACAATCGGCCATCTCTCGGCCATATCGGATTTGCACAATCGATGTTGCGGTGAGATTGGCACCTCGGCTGCAAGGTTTAGTTTTTTAGTCAATGTTTCACTTATTTTATTACTTTCAACTAGTTTTAATAGCCAGCAAGTCTACATTTTTTTACATAAAAGAAAGAAATGGATAAAAAATTATATTATGATGCTTAATTTTTTTGGAAAAAGCCAATTTTGCCATTATGGCAATGCAAATATATTTATGTATTTGTGGCAACGAGTCGAAAAACGCCGGCTCTACACTTGTGCCGTGAAGTTCCATGAAGTAATGACGTGAATTTGCACCGTGAATTCATATCAGTGGCGATGACCTCGAAAATGAGTTAATACCGTTATTCCACTAATCCCAATTGACTTGCCTCATCAATGGGGGATTTTGAACTTTTCTTACATTTATCGTCATTCGATGCTAATCAAATTGATAAACGGGATACATGGAAGAAAAGTTCACAGATCCTTTTCAAGTATAAAAAGACTATTTATTGCATAATCAAATAAGCCAATAATTAAAATTTAAAAACAGAATTTTAAATCACTTTGTATTTGTGCGTGTGAAAATAAATCAGTGGGTGTACGAAAATATTTTTTTTTCCAAATCCCTTAATATTTATCTTTCTTATTCAAATAATGTTAGGTGGGCATTAAAATTTTTTTTTTTTTTTTTAATTTCAACTGATGGGGATCTGTGAACTTTTCTTCCACTTATCCCCATTATCAATTTATTTTGCATCGAATGGGGATAAGTAGAAGATTAGTTCACAACCCCCATTTATGGGACAAGTCTATGAGGTTTTGTGGAATAACCCTCGAAAATCACATGCACATTTCACACTTGTTCGCGGAGCTTGATGCCTCAAGTGCAGAGCTGGCAACAAAACATAGCCTAAGCATAGACAAGACAAAACTTCGTTTGTTACTTCCATGACAACAACCTTTGTTTACTGATAGACGTGAGACAGTGTTTTACAAAGCGAAGTAATGTTTTTCTACTAAAAAGTCAGAAGGTGTTTTTGTAGGGAATGAAAATATAATATTTTTTTATAAAATTCAAAATCTAACATGGCTGTTGCAAACAAGAAAGTGGCACTCGCAACTGCAGATTTCGAAGTGTTTGGAAAAGTTCAAGGTGTATTCTTTAGAAAACATACACAAAGGAAAGCTATTGAGCTTGGATTAAAAGGGTGGGTAATGAACACAGCACAAGGAACAGTGGTCGGACAACTACAAGGACCCTCCTCAGCCATAGAAGATATGAAGGTTTGGCTTGAAAAAGTTGGAAGTCCCAAGTCTAAAATAGAGAAAGCCGCGTTTCGGAATGAAGGCCCCATTAATAGCTGCGCTTTTAGAACTTTTGAAATTCGACGATAATTGTATTTTGTTTTTGCTACCTTTAATAAATTTACACAAAATATAATTATGAATTTTAATTTATAATAAATTTTACACGTCGGTGACATATGTGAATGTAAGGTGGAAAATAAGGACTTGTCGTGGATAAAATCAAAATTGATTTAATCTAATGGGCTTGTTTACACTTCTATTTCCAAAGACATTAATTTTTTTACACTGTACAAAGTATTAATCTCCTTGCCTAAAACGCGTTGTTGTGATCGAGACGTTTTTATAATAAATACACTTTAGCCCCTTTAATAATTAACGAGGACTAAGCTTAGACTAGTTAAGCCGTATTTTGGTTATATCACTCAAAAGCCAGTTTAGTCCAGTCAAAATTCAAATACTAAGACTTTCACGTCGTAATTTAATGTAACAGGCTGAAAATTTCCAGAGCCCACAGAACAAGACTGTGCTATGCTTTGCGCGCTATCCGCGCTATATCTCGAGAACGGTCAATCTTATGAAAAAAGTTTTGAACAAAAAACATGTACATGTAAAATCGCAAAACTTTTATTGAAGATTTCAATGCGAAAGGAGCAAAAGAAAGCGCTATATCAGTTTTTTTTACATTTGTCCTCAAATATCTCAGCCATAATCTCAGCTGCCTTTACACCAGTCAAAACGAAAGGCACTGGAAAATTTCAGTTACCTCACATTCCGAATTCTTCTCTTTTTTGGCTTATTTGACTGGTTATTTGTAATTCAATGGACAGAGACAAAACATAATCCTAGCTTATTCCTTGTTTATTATAAAGGGGGAAAATAACACTTACAGTTATTATAATTTCACACATTTAAAATTACTCGTAACTCACAGCCACTCGTCCCTATCAGAATCTGGGTCCATGTTTAATACTTCCGGGTATATATTGACATTGTAGAAATTATAGTTGTACAGAGTTTTAGAACAAGTCGGGTAACACATCGGACAGTTAAGCCCGCCATCCACCAAGTCTAATTCCAGCTCTGCGACTAAGTGCATATACTGAGGTCTGACTGTGGTTGATTGAGCTGAAAGATATACGAGAGTTTAAATACTTTTTTGTATATATACAAAAGAATACGTACACGTTCCGATGTTGGAAAAACTTAATTGTGTATCTTTATTATGTTATATCAGTTTAAATCAAGGGTAGCGTATCATAAAATGTAGGTCGTGCCATTCGTAGGTAGGAATGAAATTGTTTTGGGTATTTTTTTTTGCAAAACAGCACATAGTAGTCACCCTCTTTCAGCCGAATGATTACATAACGGACGCTCTCAAATTTACTGATGTATTTGTGTGCGTTTCTTGCGTCCTCGAAGCTATAAAGCTAAGAGCAGCGTTTTGTATTTGTGTGTGCCGATGTATTTGTGTGCGTTTCTTGCGTCCTCGGAGCTATAAAGCCAAGAGCAGTTTCCTCCTCGGAATCAATTAATGTTACTGTAACGGAAACATTGCGTATAGGCGATGTCCTTGCAGCGCATCCGCGACGTCTTCGCTGCGCACCACCCATCCGCTCGGAAAACGCTTGCAATCCGTCCAAAATGATAAGGCACTAATACTCTCATACAAAAGAAAAAAAAGCATTTTTGACCAATATTTAGTCCGAAAAGTTAGCAGCATATTATTTTTATGCATATGACAAACCATATGTCTAATAATATAAACATGACTAAGTAGAATCGATAGTGATAATCCTATCTATAAACATTACGTTACGTATTACATCCATAGGTTAAGAGAGCTAGGGCATAGCGGTTTTGCCGCTCGAATTGGAGCGTCCGTCTGGGTAAGTGACCTCAACCTCACAGTAATATAACACTACTTTTTTGGTGGTATTGTGTTTCTGGCGGTAAGTAAGGTTCCAGGGCTCCACGGGGTAGGGGATTGGGTCAGGGTAGGCAACGGTGCGAGTGATAATAATAATAATCATCTTCAAGGCCAGAATGAACAGGCATCTTCTAGGCAGGCGTGTACCATCCTAGGCCTCATCATCGCTTTCCATCAGGTGAGATTGTGGTCAAACGCATTGCCTATTTTGCATAAAAAAAAGATATTTTTGGTATCGCAAGCGCCTATAGGCTATGGTGGCCGCTTGCTATCAGGCGCGTCATACGCTTGTTTGCCATCATATTTAACATAAAAGAGATCAATTATTAACCAATTTTGATATTGATATTAAAGGGTCTTTCAAATTTATTGTAATAAAAGAAAGATACCTAATTTCTAAAAATATCCATTCCAAATATGCAGTAGAGTTATATCGCAAGCTTAATGGAATACTGACTAATAAAAAATGTTGTGGTATTATGAAACCACGATACAAGTGAAACTTTTGAAATCATTAAAATAGCACTTACCATCATAAAACTGTAAGCATGGAACATCTGTAAGGTCGCACGTCCGCGAACTTGCCATCTTGGGTATATTAAATGGTGTACAGCTACATTTTTCCAGGAGGAACAACATGCGACATTTCAGCATACAGTCGCTATACGTATAGAACTGCAGGTATGGAGATTCGTCGTAGAATAAACAGTTCCTTATTTTGACAGGCACGTGTTGGATGTCCCTAGACGCTTCTGTGAAACTGGCCGTTACCAACACCGTCATCTGAAATAGTCGAGAAAAAAATAGACATTTAAAGCTAAAGAAAATTTTACTAGAAAAAAATCCACGCGGTCCAGGAAGGAGACGAGACGCGAAACCCTTCAGTACCCGATTCTCTGACCAATTATGTTATCTGCTGCCTGGGCCGCGTAGAAATTTTTAGAGTTACATTTTCTTGAGTTTTATTTTAAGCATCTTGCGGTTAAATGCTTAAAAATGACACATAAAACACATTAATTTTACTTATATTTTTATTTGGTTCGATTGATGAGCTTGTTTAACAAGTATTTATATTTTGTTTTGTGTGTATAAGGATTATGTTTTTGTTTTCTACGTATAAAAATAAGCCAAACTTCAGTCAATTCAGGCGAAAATACACATTTACATTTCATTAGGTCGGACGAATAGAGGTAAAAAATACAACGAACGCTCGCAGCGACCAGCCTTCCACTTTAAAACAATTACGCAAACATTTTGTTTCTTAATATGAGCCTTTTAACTTATTTATATTTAAGAAAAACTCTGCGGTTTCCTTTAACACTCTAAAGACATGTGACTCTAAGTACAAAACTGATACTGTTATGGATAAATTACAGTATCACGAGATATATGAAATCTTAGATCATGTACCCAAAATGCGTTTTGTAAAGAGATACCTACTATAAATTTGTGTTTTTATAAACATTGCGAGATATTTCGCAATGTAGCCTTTTCTATCGCCTATACAATGGCAAACGTTTTGGGAAAACTTTTTCTTTAAAGCTAAAGGTTTTGCCTTATGTGCTTCACCTTGTGTATAGTATGTTCACATCTTAAACCCTTACATTTGTAGCGGTTCATACAAGACATATTTATTTATAGTACCATGTTTTTTACGGCCCGGTGTTATACAAAATTTTTAGAAAACAATTTTACTTTATTATTTTTATAAAGAGTTGTCAAAGATTCGCACACTTTTCGCTCGGAAAAATCTTAATCGGACTTTTTGGCGGGATTAGGTAGCGCCGCTTTAGCAGTTTTGTTTTTCTTGTTAATAATTGTGTTGTGGCGGATGTTAGTGTCTAATAATGGTGGATTATTAACCACTAAGTGTTCGGGAACATGCACAAGTGTTGGCAAGTTAAAACAAAATAACGGAAAGTGTCATTCGACGTTCCCTCAAGAAATCCATGGGGAGGTTCCAGTAAATCCCCACACATTTACTGAAACATAGGGAAATGGGGATTGACTTGACTGCCACTTACTTTGACTTGATTTATTACTTTGACCACGAGTGCAATAGAATTTGTAAACATTTTTACACTTGACATTGGCTAAATGCACAAGCCGTGCGAAGCCATTTAGAAAAAAAAACTTAATGGAATTTATTGTACCTTTATATTAATTACTAGCTTTAGCCTGCGACTTCGCCCGCGTTTTCGTCGTTTTTCATAAAAAAGTAGCATATGTCCTTCCTCAGGGTTCCGTGGTTTTGATGTGACAGACAGATTAACTTTCGTATTTTAGTAGGGAAATATAATATGTCAATCCACAATACTGTTAAAAATATCGCAATAAGGAACCGCAGAATATTATTATTATCACTGTGCCCCGAGATCATCAGCGTGTATGTTATTATGTTAATGTATTGGTAATATTGTTTAGATCACTTTCACATGAGGCTTAAGTACATATAGAATGAAAATACTTCAGCGTAAAGCTTCCGGGTAAACTACGTTGAAAGTTGACCCGTCCGGCACGTGAACATAAAGATTTCTAGAACTGCTAACCCGGGAAAGAGCGACATATAACTGACCCTGTGAAAAACAACTGACACCAAGATCTACTATAGCAACACGAAAAGTCTGCCCTTGAGCCTTATTTATTGTCATTGCATAACACACTGATACTGGGAATTGCGTTCTTTTAAATTGGAATGGAAAATTATTTGGTATCATGGGAATTCTGGGAGTAAAGATGGTTTCTCCTGCACCGCAACCTATTGAAATTTGAACCTCGATTACATTTTGTTGCAACTGGGTTACTTTAAGCCGAGTTCCATTGCAAAGTTGTGGTGGTCTTAAATTTCGGAGCAGAATAATCGGAATGCCAATTTTTAAACAAATTTCATGAGAAGGAAGTCCGGGCATATTTAAAGAATTTAAAAATTCTATCGGGTAATTAGTGGCTTCTTGTTCATCGGCCATTCTATTTATTGAACTATAAACTTTGCTTTCCCCCTGGATATTCGACAGTATTTTATTATTAATCTCAGATGCCTGGTCATTGCGAGGAATTAAAATGGACCTTTCGCATAGCCAAGAATTGTCCTTATTTAATATATTTGTTACGTCACCGTAAACTGACGATATAAGATGTTGTTGGGATTGCACTATACAACATAACTCAGGCGTCAGAATAAGTTTTCCTTGGTGTAGCAGTGGATAGGTATCTTTGGTGAAGGTATTTTCTTTAATAATCTATCATCAATCTATCAGAAAATTCACGATCATCCGGGTTATCTACAGTTCTCACTCGCATGTTTATAGTCAAATGCACCGATGTATATCACGCCACAAATAAGAGCTTTTCAGGCAAGCCTTAACCTCATCAGCTCGGGTTCCCCGTGGTATTACCGGTAAGGTTTGTCGGAAATCACCGCAAAATAAAACTGTGATACCGCCCATTGGTCGATCATTTTGTCTTATATCCCTTAAAGTTCTGTCTACCGCTTCTACTGCTTTTCGATGGGCCATTGTACATTCATCCCATATGATTAAATTACACTTTGAACGAATATTTAAACACTACCAAAACAACTAATACGTGGTCCTAACTTTAGCTACCTTACACTTAAAATCTAAGTGACTATTTAAACTAAAATATTCTTATAGAATTATAACCAGAAATATATACAACTCACAACAAAAAAGAAATGAAAATAAAGCTGAAACGCCTGTGCAATACTATCTACCTATACCTACTTCACTTAAAAATAAATACTTATAACTACTTTAATTAATAAAAGTACCTACGCTTAATATTTTTTAATTTGAACGAATATTTAAACACTACCAAAACAACTAATACCTATTTTACAAAATAACAACAAAAGAAATTCAAATAAACTATTTAACGACTAAAAGTCGCGCTGATAAGCACGGTTTCTCAATATCAATTATTGTCTGTCAATAAGGTCGAGCGCTCTAAACGCATCAACAGCCAAATATTGAAGCTCGCTCGCTCTCTTTTTTTTATTTTTTTTGTTTCCTCCCAGGCAGGGGAGCAGGTGTGAAATCCTCATGGATACCCTACAGCCGGCTGCAATGTTATGTCAGACTCGTACTGACTAAATAACACCCGTAGGGGCTGCCTCTGGCCGGGAAGGCCTCTAAGGCTTCATCGGAAGCGATCGTCCCCCAGGGGAGGGAGCGACGACGTAGAAAACAGATTTAGACAGCTCGCTCTCGGACCTCCCGCCTTTTGATACCCTACCGCTGCGCCGCCGCGACCCGTGTCGAGCGCGGCAACCGTTACACAAAAATAATCCTTATAGCATGATTCAGTATTCACGTGCGACGGCGCGATGGCTTATTTCATGTATAAGTTTGGTGTTTCTATACCGATTTCTAAGTTTTTTTTTATTGAATATGTAATAATGTTAACTTTTTTAAATTAGGGATGAGTCAGAGTATTATAAAAATAAGAGTAAACAAATATGATCAGAATGCTCCGAATTGCTAAGCTATCGGGAGTTACACGTGTTATTGTGAGTCAACCATAAAAGATAGACATATGCTGTTGCGGGATATTTTCTAGAAAATTTTATGTAGAATATTTCCGTCATACATGATTTCTATGTAACTTTAACCATTAAGGCTGCACACGCGACGGAAGCTTAAAAAATGGAGTAACTTCTCCCGTTTTCCCAAAATTTCCCTTCACTACTCTGCTCCTATTGATTGTAGCATGATGAAAAGTATACTATAACCTGCCCAGGAGTATGAGGAATAATTGTACCAAGTTTCATTAAAATCCGTCGAGTAGTTTTTGTTTCTATAAGGAACATACACACAGACAGACAGACAGACAAAAATTTTACTGATTGCATTTTTGGCATCAGTATCGATCACTAATCACCCCCTGATAGTTATTTTAAAAATATATTTCATGTACAGAATTGACATCTCTACAGATTTATTATAAGTATAGAATAGATTACATAAATTTGATAAAGATTTTAACTGACAACCACATGTTCGACATAATCGTTCCTCGCATATTACAACAAATAACAGAAACTTGCATATTTATAATGTTAGGCCGTATACAGAAAGAAAGCCGAAAGCCGATCGGCGCCGATCGGCGCTTATCGGCGCCGATCCTTCCTACATAAAGGAAGCCGATTAAAGCAGATCAAGCAAAAGGTCGGACTCATCGGACGATGATTTGGTTTTGTTAGAAAATATTTATTTAAAAATGCGAAATACAGCTATACATCCTATAAATAGAAAAAGGAAACGTTTCGGAAAATACCATCATTTATTTGTAAAAAAAATTAAATTTGATGAACAAAGATTTTATACATATACAAGAATGATTCAAGAAACATTTTATTACATTTTGGATTTAGTGAAAAACCGTTTGATGAAAAATTGGGGCAATTGGCATAAACAACCAATCCTTCCAGAAGAAAGACTTGTTGTCACCATTCGGTAAGTACGAAACAAATAATTTTAGCGCTTAGTTAATAAAAGATAAAGTTATTAGATTTATAAAAAGATTATAACTTAGATTGATTTAATCTAAGGATAATAATTCAAATACAAATTATTTATTATTCGAACCAGCGCGTGTTGGCGCTTATCGGCGCTTATCCGGTCCATAGAAAAAGGGTCAGCGTCAATAGGCGCCGATAAGCGCCGATCGGCGCCGATCGGCTTTCGGCTTTCTTTCTGTATACGGCCTTAGTAGGGTTATTAATTTGAAAAAGTAGATCGTATATTGTTACTCGTTATAAACTTGGGTAGCTTTCCAATTACAGCATTATAGCGCATTATGCGGCATAATACTTAACGTTGAGTGTTCCAACTACAGCAACGCTTCGCACAATTGAACACTCTCAAAAGTAATGCTTTCGTGTGATGCGTGCAATCGTACCAACCCAGTGACAGAAAATTAACAAGTGTTTTTTCTTTAAGTTGGCATTGATCGAAATGTTTTATTTATATGTTAACGTAAGTAATATTATTTATTGTTGAAAAATTATTAAAGCTTTCGTGCATTTGAAAACTAATTCACGTTCCAATTAAGCATCAGCATAATTCGGCATTGTGCGGCACTGAGTCGCATTATGCTCTGTAATAGGAAAGCAACCTTGAACCCCCGTGTAGGTGACAGACCGACCTTCTTCGTAAGTTTTTATTGTTTTTCTGTACGCGCGTTCGAATTTCAAATGGTAGACGCGACGACGCGCCTATTGCAGCTACTGGAAAAAATGTTATTGATTTTTTGTTTGTAAAATTTATTTAAGTACTTTGCAGTTATTGTAATAGTTTTTCATTGATAAATATCAAATTCAGAGATATAAAGTGCGTGTTCATTTTTTACCGCTTATACCCCGATTCCTCATATTGGGTGAATTTTAGAAAATCGTTTCTTAGCGGATGCCTATGTCATAATAACTTATGGTTCAAGTTCTATGTTGATAGATCATTAGGACAGAAATAGTTGCCTTATATAAATTTAGATGGATATTATGAAGTTCAGCCAGGATTCTCGTAGAAAATGTCATACTCACCTGTACACTGGGGTTTATCATCTGCATTGCGAAACTGCCACTAGGAGAATCGGGAAAGTCGTATGAATCAGAGAATTGTAGCTGTGAAATAAAGCTTTGAGTCATTACTACATTGCTACAGACAAATTGGAAATACATAAAAAACGAACACAACGAAAATTACTGTATAAAAAGTTACGTTTTAGAGTAAAAGGTGACGCTATGATTGTTTGGTCATGCTGGATTCATTTTTATTTACATAGATTCTCTGTAAGTATATTACTTTCGTAAACGACTAACCTGCGCTCCTTCTGATGGTATTTTGTAGTAAAAATCATCGCTTTTGTCCAGCCGTATTAACACTTTAAGCCCTTGATCATAATCGTAAGTGGACTTGTTACCGTACTGATACATATTAATACTGCGTTGTGAATTTTCCTTTCTGAAACCATGGGTAAAATATAGAGACAATTACTAATCTAATCCTAACTAATATTATAAATACGAAAGTGAGTTTGTTTGTTATGATTCACGCCTAAACCACTGAATCGATTATCATAAATTTTGGCATACAGATAGATCAAAATAAGTTAAAAGAGGCAACGGGCGCGAGTGATATTTTTTGGTATCTCAAACGTATGCTATATATACATAGGCTATATTAGCCGCTTACCATCAAGCGGGTCATATGCTTGTTTCAAAAATACCAACAAATAACCAATAACTATTTTAATTCAAATTGAGCGCTCAGAATTGTTTCCAAAAACTTACTCAGTGAAGAGTTCGTCGGAATGCCTCAAGTAATTGAAAGTGCAACAGTATCCATTCATGGTGAGGCGGAAATCAAATAACCTATCACAGTCCACCGGGTTGTCATTCCAGGCGCAGCGCACCAATAAATCTTGGCAACGGGGCGTTAACTGAACGTTCAAAGGTTAAACAACTTAAGTAAAGTTATTATTATTATATTGATATTTAGTATTTAAACTGCTAGATATTCAAATCTAAAGAAATTATTTACTAGAAAACATTTCACTCGGTCCATGTTTCAAACGGGATTCGAACCCACATCTTCCTCTATCCGGACGGATGCATAAACCAATTATGCTACCGAGTACCGTGACCCTAATGGCCGTGTCGAATTTCCTCTAGTATTTCTTAGGCTGCAAGGCAGCGCCATCTCTTCTAATTGTAGGTAACCCACAATGTCAAACGAAATACCTTTATAATTAGTATTAAACATTTAAAAGTAGAAATAGCACTTGTAGATTATTGTATATTCATATTTACTTAGTTTTAGCATTTAAACTGATGTTTATATCTAAAGAAATTATATACATGAAAAAAATCCACCCGATCCATCTCTCAGACGGGACTCGTAGCTGCGGGTGCAGCTTCCGGACAGGCGCACTAATCGGGTACTCTACAGAGACCGCCGTGTCGAATTTCCTCCAGTATTTATAATAATAATAATATTTATCTATTGTCACATAAATTGATTACATACTTGAATATAATGTTGTCCCTGACCCCTATAAAAGGATAAAGACCTGTGTGACAGGGGTCAGTGCCCACTTCCGAATACATAGATCATAATTATTTATGTGACAAAACAGCTCTACAATCAGACATATTATTTAAAATAATTAAAGCAATCAAATAAAAAATTAAAGAAAATTTATAACTTTATTATTTAACTAGCGGCCGACCGCGACTTCGTACGCATGGAGTTAGTTAGAAATAAAGGTTCACTGCTCGTTCCCCGTAGGTGATAGCGTGATAATATATAGCCTATATGTTGACCCGACTTCTTAATAATGCTCGTGGCAAATTTGAAGTAAATCCATGCAGTACTTTTTGAGCTTATTCCGGACATACAAACAGACAAAAATTCTAAAAACTATATTTTTGAATTCGGTATCGATTGTAGATCACACCCCTAGTATTCTTTTAAAAAAAATATTCAATGTATAGTTTTGACTTTCCTACCATTTTATTATAATTATCCATAGGGAAGGCCTGTGTCCCAGCAGTGGGGACATTAATAGGCTGATGATGATGATGATGATAGATATATCATTATCATGAAGGAGGAATGCTCCATGGCGCAAGTGGTAAGCGCGTTCGGTCTGCCATCATAGATGTTACATCTTTGCTTTACAGCAACTTCCGCAATGGCCGGTCATCGGATGGTTGACCTAAATTTATTACCTCGAGCTTCTCCGTGTTTCAGAAGGCACGTTAGGCCATATCGGCCATATCTGCAGTCGGAACTACCCGCCAATCCACACCTGCGTCGCGAGGGTTTGATAACAGCAAACCAACGCAGCATTGATCATTGTCGTGGATATAATTCATTTTTTCTCCCTGTCATCGAAAAAACAACGGACATGTGCTGTTCACATGCTATAGAAGTGAAACCTACAAAAATGTGAACACGTAAAAGCCCTTCATAACTTGGTACGTCGTAAAAATAACACTTGTGTTAAAATTCAACTCTCTAACTCTTATTTCTTTCGAAAAATGAATATTAGCTTAATAAAAGAAAAAAAATGAAAATGTGCGTTATGTTTAAAGACATTATTTAACTAATCAAAAACATTAATATACTATTAATTTAAGTTATATTTTTCTCAAACAAAAATAAGCTCTATTACTTAGATACCAAGTTTCACAAATGTACTTGCGATCGCACGCTCCGTCTCCAAATTTTAACAAACTATTTTAAAGGTTAGATAATTAAAAGCACGCATACTTATATGATAGTTTTGCAACAAAAGCACTGCCGTAATCGTTTAAGAAATGCTTAATTTCTCGATAGATGGCGGCACTAAAACGAATTAAAAAACAAATTATTTACTTATTTTACAAAGATTAGATAGAAGCTATTAACTGCGATTAACGAGCAAGAAAAAACTGTAATAAACATATCAGACGATATCCATTAAATAAATATTGTTCAATATGATATACATAATATTACTATTCAAAATTAGTTAATTGAAGCTTTTGTATTAAGGGAATCAGAAAAAACTGCGATTATGTAATCGGCTAGACCAAGAAAATAAAAAATGTTAATTTTATAAATTGACCCGATAGGGAATCGAACCCGGTATACCCTGCGTGATTGCGGGGTTCATTAATTACAAAAACGCTGCCTTGCTTTTGCGATAGATTTTAAAAATGATGAAAAAACTCACAAACGTATAATACGTACACGTATACAAAACACCACGGTTGTTGGGATGCCTTTTCTCAAGCTTTGTACCTACCCAAAAGTCCCATGACACATGAGTGTCATAAAAGTTTTTCCAGTCAAACGTCCGAGGACACTTTTAGTGTCCTATTTTTTGCTCATTAGCACGCTTTAGAAATCATCCTTATCGCTGCTTAAGGTCTCTTTAGTTTAGGTAAAATATGTAGATGGCGTTGTGAATACAAATCCAGTGCTCTCTGAACTTTAGATGTTTTTAACATCAGTTTGAAGAAAGCGCTCCGCGAAAAATGGCGACGGGCGTGGACGTTTCAACCGAAATGACCCTATTTTGTAGAAAACACTCATTTCTCATTATTTAATCTTAAAATGTGATATATTCACACGATCGTCAAGATTTACCCGTGTCAGTTATATGAAAAGATCATAGTTTTATTTGGGTTACAATTAAATACCTACAAAAATGTGAACACGTAAAGATATTTATAAAAATACAATATTCATTTATAAAAAAATACTGTTAAAAAATTGCAAACATTGGAAAGGTAAGGATTGTTGATAAAAACCAAGCCTGTATTACTAAACAACTTAGGCACCTACCAAACTATTCAGGTATTGTAAAATCCAGGGCAAATTTAAATATTCTATACTTAAATTGTTTCGAAAAATAAATAAGTTTTGTAAAAAAAAGGATTTATACAATTAAATAAATAACAGAGCTCAGGATCGAACCACTGATCGTTTGGTGTCGACCCCAAGACCGTTATCGTTTGGCTCTGGCTCTTGTAGTAGATGGTAAAATTACGGATACCTATCTTGTGCCAAATACTCTACTTCCGTTTCATCGAATCTCAAGTTACACAATAGTAATGAAATTTTCATTTCAAATAAAAAAGGGAGTACGAGCCAATATAGCACACGCGGGCTCAATATATTTTGGCAGAGGTGCTTACGACTACCACTCCTCCGAAATACAGAGAAGCTCGGGATACCGAAAAAAGTTGACGTCACCCATCCAATAAACAGTCACTACGAAAGTTAGCTTAGCTTCACTGCTATTAATTCCTACACCTATATACTACCTTGTTTTTCTTTCGTTTTACTTTCTAATACAATTTTAAAAAAGATAAAATGTGTACTCATTTACTATCTGAATTTGGTGTGGTACCACCATGGCCATAGCTATGTATCTTTGAGTTATGGCTGAACCGGAATTTAGAAATATCACCTACATACCCAAATTTCTATTTAAAATCGATCTTTCTCATTTTTTTCTTATACAATATTCAAATGAACTTCAAATTAAATATTTTCTCTTATATGTTCTGCATCTTTACGATCATAAGAATTTATTTGAATTATTCATGAGCGCTAAACATTCAAGATAAACTAAATTGCGAAATATTATCTACAAAAACAAGAATGGTGCAGCTTTTAATGGTATTCCAATGTGTTCATTTAATTTAAAATTAATTTCGTAATCAATAAATTGCAATATGATTCGATTAGATCTTTTATAATATTGAGCTTCCCATACGCAACATTGCGTAATACTCTAGGATAGTCGCAATAAAGACTATTTAGTCGCACTGTGTTAAACTCACGCTCCTCAAGAGATCGTTGGCATGGTAATGGCCCAGAGCCTCGTGGGTTTCTGTCGTTGAATAATTACTGTTCACCATAACCACATTGTAGAATTGACCGAGTCCAAACAACAACGACATCATTTCCTTTTCACTGTATTTACTATTGCGGTCTTCGTTCAATCTATAAATAAAAATAATTTAAAAATAGACAATTTCATAATAGATGATTAGGTAAGCTATTGTTTACTTCGTAACTGATATTATCTTTAAATTGGTAATAATATCATTCTAACTGTAAATTACAGCTAGCTTTATTTTTAGTCCCATCGCATTTTCAACATCTATCTTGATGGTCGACATTCGACTCTCCTTATTACGCGCATACATTTATCTTAAATCACAACAAACTAACAAATGAAAGTGGTACATACAACTTTTTCGCCAATTCCACAACGGCGCGCTTGCTAATTCTGTTGTTACTACAAATTCCAACGGCAGGAAAAATAATTTTATCAATGGGCTTTCCATCGGGCATTTGCGTGGTGACCAAAGGAGCAAAGTAATATTTGGTGAAAGTAAACCACACGAGTGTTACGGAAACTATCAATGCTCCAATGAGGGTAATCTTCCATATGATTCTGTAAGAAAAAAATATAAATACGTACGCTATAATTAATGTGAGAAACAACATATTTTTGCAGTTCCAATGATATAATACCATTTACGTAGGTACACGTGCTGATGTAACACACAGCTACTTCGAATAGTTGTGGTAATTGCGACAAACAAGTCTATTCCATCGAACTAAACAAGTTCACAAAGACTGTAACATAATAAGGTTGAGTGTTGATCTTTTCTTGCTCACCTTTCAATATATGGAGTGTTCTCGTCAACTAAATGCTTGAGACCACATATGGACGATTGTGTACAATACTCTTTAACTATTGTTTTCAAGCTTCTTTTTAGAATGCACAAATTAGTTTTCTGCGGCCTTTTCTGGTATTTATTCTGAACACGTGGATATACGCTGTTATCCATATTAATTGATATGGAGATTAAGATGCAATCGGTGCTGTGCTCTATTTTTTTTACGCATGCAAAGTAGCTGCCAGTCTACCGGATGGTTGGTGGTTATTGATGCTCATGGCCATATACAGCGACAAAGGTAACACCACTCTTCCCTTACCGGCTTTGAAGGAAAAAGGTTACCCACCTTCTGATTTCATTTCTGATAGCACTTCAAAATGTCGCATAGGCAGGACATAATGATAGTAGTCGTTAAATATTCCATTTTACGATACGATCTAACATCGGGTCGATGGAGTTAATTGCTTTGATTGATGACTTCTTCTCGTGTTCGTTCTACTGGTATGTTTGAAAAATGTGATTTTCATAATCAAAATCTATTTCAGTTTATTAAAAAACGAACCCCAAATTCGTGAATTGGTCAGGTACCACTTATTTGGGATATGTTTTGTTATCTTTGTCCATTGCTGCTAATTTTTCAAATATGTGTTTTAAAGAAAATTAAACATTATAAGTTGTCATCCCTTTAGGGACGAATTTTCGAAATTCTAAAGGTTTTAGAAAATCTCAAAATCCTTCAGCTAATTTAAAAACTTATCGGCGGGTAAGGCTTCAAAAAATATTGAAGGCAACGGGCAATGAACAACAACCTGTCAATATTGTTTCCGGACCACGTTCAAGGCCCAACTAAACATGCTGAGACGAAACTATACGTATATTTCTGCTGCCATAAGATTTAACGGCGTGAATGTAATGATACACATAACAGTCATGTGATCATCCGAAAGTTGATTTAGTGGTTTTACATAACATTATGGGTATTATTAGGTCTAGAATTTATCCCATTCACCTTTCTGTCAGCGAGAATATGTAAGTGGGTTGTATTGGCATCACAACATTGGAGAGGCGAACTGAGCGCATGACCGGTTGCAACACCCAGTTGCAACAATTCGACCATCTCCACAACACCAACATTCACTAGCTATGTGATGTACCTTTGCTGTGAGCAAACATTCAAATGCGGATAATTAACTTTAAAAAGTGGCAGGTACTTTTAGCATTTCTGACATAGAGCCACACGGATTCTATTCCCCTATTCTGACACGAAATTAATTAGCAGGCTTTAAGCATGGATTTAAAGGTCATATGAAATGGTTAATCGATGGAAGACGGTATTGCAAATTCATTTATAGTATTGACAGATCTGCTGTTAAATCATAATCAATTAATTATTGGTATAACAAATAAATTAAATATTGGTATAACATTATGTTAGACAAAAAATAAGTTCAGTGTAATTCTGATCTCTGATGTACCTGCACGATCAAATATTTCCTTCGGAAATGCAAGCAAGCCCTTTGAATAGAATTTCTTGTACGTTGCCCTTATAGTACTTGATTTTTTTATGACTGTGTAACATATTATTATTTGTTTTTTAATTTTCCTGTAAAGTATCTATGGAACAGATTTAGAATTCTTGAAGAATCGGAAGTGTGTTTGGCACAGTCAGTCAGGAAAGCGCGCGCAATTTCGCGCTCATGGGAACCTTCGGAACCATTTGTCACTGTTCAATTGTTTTTGTGAAGTTAGTAAAGATGTGAGATGCCACATACTCAGTCAGGTCATAAGTATTGTCTCACAGTAAAAACTTTTCTTTTAGAATGCTGGTCACAAAAAAGTTTATTGAATTCGAATTTCGAATTGTTCATGAAAATAAAAATGTATACTTTTTAGAATTTTACTCATTTTTAGATATAGAGTGGACGCTTAAAGAAGACCGTGTTGCAGTTATTGCGTTGCATCGTTGCGGTTACGCGTCAATTCAAATTTTTGACATACTGAAAAAGGAGATTGCTCAAATTGGCCGAAATGCACAAAAAATATTGACATATACGGTAATTCTTGGCGTAATTTATACTTTATTTTACAGTCATTAGATTTTAACGGACACCTTTGTATAATATATTAATTTAAAAAAGGACTTTTAATTTTACCGGTTTGGAAAACATACGAATCATTTTTAATGGCTATGGGTGTAGTAACATTCAGCCAAAGACTGATCGAAGTTGTTTATATAACATCAAAACAAATCTATTTTGTAAAGATCGATAAACTAAAACTTTTTTTTATTACACTATTGTATTAATATCCACAACTATATTATCATTTTTACTACATGCAAATGTGCTAAGACAAATATTATAGATGGTAGGCGATATAATGAAGTCTATTGCCATACATTTTTCGCCAAACACCTCCATAAACACATTATAAGGTGTGATACACTAAAACTCTAAAATATGGTTATAATATAAACATAACAAAAATAATAAGGTTTCTTTAGTTAACGAGAGTTTAAAAATTCTCTTTAATCTGTGGCTCATTCACAAATATTACACAGTTTCTGTCACAGAGTACCTTATTATAACCGGAAATGCTTAAATGATACCTGATTTTAAAAGTAACTCTTATGCATTAACTTTAAAAACAGGCAACTATCTATTAATCTACATGCTTTATATACCTGAATCTAATACATAATTTCGGTTTGATTTCCCTAGTGTGCTATATAACTTATTTGTTTTTTATTATTTTAATACCTATGTACCTATTTGCAAACATAACCTCAAAATCATTCAGTGTATATGGTTTATAGAAGTTCTCAGGGGTGTCCGTCAATAATATTTGTTTCTACAGTAATTTATATATAATTTCGAATCTAGGAAACAATTTTTCATGATTATTGGTCTTTAGGCCAAACATGTATGGAAGCTGAGCAATCTCCTTTGAATATGACCAAAAGATTCGTTTATCGTACCATCAAACGATACAATGAAGTCTCTAGTGTAGATGACAGGTCAAGAAGTGGTCGCCCTCGGTCTGTTAGGGCTCCAGCAGTGATAAAAGCTGTGAAGGCGCGAATTCAAAGAAATCCCAAACGTAAGCAGAAACTGTTGGCCCTTCAGATGGGGTTAAGCAGAACCACGGTGAAAAGGGTGTTAAATGAAGACTTTGGGCTTCGCGCATATCGAAGAAAAACAGGACATCGTTAGAATGCTCGTCTAATGGACCTGAGACTGAAGAGATGCCGCGCTTTGTTGAAGCGGTACGCGGGAAAAAAATATCGGGAAATTCTTTTTCCGGATGAAAAAATTTTTACCGTAGAAGAGAGCTACAACAAACAAAATGATAAGGTGTACGCACACAGTAGTGAAGAAGCGAGCAACCGTATTCCGCGTGTCCAAAGGTCATTTTCCATCCTCGCTCATGGTATGGTTGGGAGTTTCTTATTGGGGCTTAACAGAGGTACATTTTTGTAAGAAATGTGTAAAAACGAATGCAGTTGTGTATCAAAATACAGTCCTGACGAACCTTGTGGAACCTGTTTCTCATACCATGTTCAATAACAGGCACTGGGTATTCCAACAAGATTCAGCGCCAGCTCATAGAGCGAAGAGCACACAAGACTGGCTGGCGGCGCGTGAAATCGACTTCATCCGGCACGAAGACTGGCCCTCCTCCAGACCAGATTTGAGTCCGTTAGATTACAAGATATGGCAACACTTGGAGGAAAAGGCGTGCTCAAAGCCTCATACCAATTTGGAGACACTCAAGAGATCCTTGATTACGGCAGCCGCCGATATTGACATGGACCTCGTTCGTGCTACGATAGACGACTGGCCGCGCAGATTGAAGGCCTGTATTCAAAATCACGGAGGTCATTTTGAATAAACTTTATTGTCATAAGAATCTATGTTTTGTTAAGTTCATTTTGGTATATAAATTGTTACATAATAAATAAACTTGTTTCAATTATTTTATATTAAACATGTGACAGAATTTATGACCTGACTAGGTATTAAGTACATACTCGTAACATTCATTTTACTTGGGATTAACCATTCGTGTGATTCTTCGTCAAAGGGATAACGACTGGGACAGTTGATAATTATCATTGTTAAATTATGACCTCATTTTGGATATCTTCAAATGGTGCAATACATTTTTTACCTAACACCGCCACCGGTGAGGTTTAACTTAACAATTAAAGCTTAAGTAAGTAACTTTCCCTCCTAAAGTATATTAAATATCTAAGAAAGGATATTTTACTAAAAGAAGACATCATTTTATTTTTAATAATAAGTAGAACTGCACGTAATATTTAAATCGCCGGGATCGTAACCGGGATTCAAACTCGTGAAATGTGAAAAAAAACTCAACTATCTTTAACATTTAATATGCTTTCCCTTCGGTTGCCAATGCAGTGGGACGCCCTGTATATGCTCAGTATCTACAGTAGCAAAAGTTTTATTATTTTTTCGGTCGATTACACGATTCCGCCACCGGCTCTATTCACCGACGACAGAATCCTAATTTAAACATAAGTATTATTTTCTACATAAATATGTGGATGTTTCACCAATCTAGCAATAATGGATATAAGTATGACGTGAAAAATAAAATAAGTATTATTATGTTGATGAATTAGCACTTACTATGCGAATCAAGATTTTTAATTCCCATATGGCTTATAATCAATCATAACTTAGAAATTCATATATGTGCATTTGTCTGAAAAGTAGGTAGAAAAAAGTTACGTAATAAGACTGGTTTATGATAGGCGAATGACATTATCATTGCAGTAGGTATATTGCACTTTTACTAACAGAAATGTCAATATCCCATATGTATGCTGACAGTTAAATAATAACTTGTTACATTAGTGGTTTTGATCTCTAACTTTTATAAATAGGTGCCGAAAAGTAACAAACATCTTCAACCTAGATTCAGCTAACTTGATTTTATAACTAGTAAAAATCGTAGTTATGGAATAACGTATAGGAAGGAGTAGGCGGCTCTTGGCAGGCCGAACCGTACGGAGCTCCTCTCATAAAGGCAGACGCCCTGCCCGAAATGTTATTTATCTAAAAATTTGCTATTCTGCCTTGCTATCGATAAGAGCTGCTACAATCGAGCATAAGTCCTTTTTTGTCGAAATCGAGTTAAATATTGATTCGGAAAAAGAACTATGAGCTCTAGAATATGATCTAACCTCCATATTTTTAGCACAACGACTATATCACAATAAGAATAAGGTTCCTATCCTTATTATAAAGTTGTCGTAGTATCTATCAATATTTAAGGTTTTTAGCCATTTAAGATTAATCTGTTATAAATACAAGTTAGATGATTTCACAATAAAAAAAGTGCTTCATTTAGGTAATGTAACAACCATTCTGTAGTAAACATATGAAAAAAAACGTAACGAAAAGTTTGAATGACATTTCTCAAAACTATGTAAATAAAACCGCTCTTATGGATAGCACAGCAGTATTTGCGCTTTGTGATGAACAATTACAATTACGGAACCCTAAATTGCGCGTGGCTCTACACGAACATTGCCGGTTTTTACCTTAGGCATTTTTTTATATGTAGGTCCGACAAATAACTCCGCCCCACCTGATGTTAAGTAACGGTGAAGTCCAGACGTGAAGATAGTAAATTTATAATTAAAAAATAATTATATGATTATGGTAAACAAGCATAAATGGCAATCACACGACTCATGAACTCTTGCAAATCCTATCCTGGAGCCCTGGAACCTAACTCGCTGACAGAAACACAACACTTCCGAAAGGCAAAATATTATAGTAGTGTTATATCATGGTCTTCTGTATGGTGAAGATTACTTACCCAGCCCTCCGTAGTTTGAGCACCGCGATATGATATATAGCTTGTTTTCATCATGCTCAATAGTCAAATTACTATGAAGTTTAATAGTTAGGCTCAATAAAAAACGTGATATAATGTTAATTCGGGAACAGATAGACATTTCAAATCGAGCGGAAAATTCGTTATACCCGTCTTATCATAATAGGTACCTAGACTGCGTCAAAGTAGTTTTAGTCCATAATAACGTAAATACAAACTATTCATAAGTATTAACTTTTAGTTTGAGAAGCGTTTCATCAGTTATGTGAGCATAAATATTTATTTAATCCTTGTTGTATTATGTAGTTCAACAGTTCCGCATTCTCAGGTGGTCTACTAATAATAGCCTGTCCGCGAAAAACTTTTGTCCGCCGTAATACGTCGCTTACAACAACGCATTGCATCGCTTTACACTTAAACTATATTTAATTATATTTCAGAAAGATCGTGAAACATTGTTTTATTCAATATTATAGTGAAAGCATAATAAATAATCTCAACAATACAAATAAATAATCAATCCGACATAAAGGGATAGACCAGTGTTCCTTTTTTAAAACGTCTTCTCTTTTTCTTTAACTTCATGTTAATTACAAGACAACGTTATCTCAGATTAATGCTTCCATAACATGCGCCTTACTAAATTTTCGGAGGACAAATGTTCGCACATAGTGTGCGTTGAGACCGCGAAAACTCATCGGCTGACATTTTTTTCGTAATACGCGGACTGGAGTCCTCCGCGGACAAAATTCCGTCGTCTGCATAGGCCATAATCATGCGGATTTGTGTAAACTGCTTAAATCTGCATAATTAAACAATCAAATTATACCGAACGTCTCGTTGATCCGTATAAATAGGGTCATTTCAATTGGCATTGGCTATGTTATCACGTCCATATAAACTGTTATAACATTTCTTACACAAACAAAATGATATCAATCGATTAAGTATTAACCTTATTCAAAATAAATATTTGCAAGTACAAATACACACGTTTCTGACATTGTGTTCCTACTGAAGAGAATAAGCTTCTCAGAAGCTGATTGAGATTTCATAATTACGCACTGAAGTTATTTTTATGGAGCAAGATTAATAATACACACGTCATTTGTAATAATAATTTGTTTTGTTTAAATTTAAATATACATACTTGTAAGAGGGTAATTAATTCTTTGATGAGCGTTCTCCGCGAAATTTCATATTGAGATTTTAGAAAATATAAAATTATTACATTAATGTATATATTATAATAACATATAATATCTATAAAACATGTTAATCACACTTATATTATAAAGGCTATAGTTTTTGAGTGTGTATGTTTGTTACTTCTGCACGTCTAAAACGGCTGGACCGATTTTAATAAAATTTGGTATGGAGTTACCTGACACCCTGGATTAAGACATAGGCTACGTTTTACAGCGGCAAAATATCCTAATAAACCGCGGGTAAAACTGCGGGGCAGCTATTTAGTTTATTTACCGAGATATTAAAATTTGAATTTTTTGTGTCTATGAAAGTTACGAAACGAACTTGCCGCTACCAAAATTAGAAAAAAAAGAGATCTCACTCAGTTACATCGATACAAATTCCATAAATTGGTTGAATAATCCCAACCACCCGTCATTAGTGAAGATTAAAGTCGGTTTCGAAAACACTTGCATTCACGAATACTTATTAGAAGATGCGGGCTTGGAGGCGTGGTGGCATCGCCCGCTCTCTTTGCTTCGCTATAGCAACCAACAGTTGCCAAATAAACCGCGACCGCGCATCGCACTCGTTTATACTTCGTTTAAGCAATCCGTGTTATGCAAAAAAGAAAAAACAAATCAGTGGTTGGTGTGGTTTTTTTATCGGCTCGTTTGGATAGTGCTCCTCTATAAGGATTGTGATTTATTGTTTATGGATATGGTAAGTGTTTATTTATTACTGTAGTAGAACGAACAGGTGAGTAACCGCAATATACCCCAATACGGATTTGAACAGAGATGAATCGATATTATCTAAAACTAAAAATTCTAGTAAATAAAAAATATGAAAGGAAATAAAAAAAGGAATCTAATTAAAACCAAGGCAAAATAAATTTAAATAAAGTATTTTAACGAAAATAAATATCTGTAATATATGTTAGCAAAGTGAAGTTATTTATGTAAATAATTTAAAAATTCTTAAGTGTAAGTTGCACCCGCTTACTTTAACTGTTCAGTTATAGTACTGGTTAGGTAAAAAATGGGTGGCACCATTTGCTTTAGTCAACATGAGTTATAAATTTGACACTCACACACACACACACACACAAAGTGTAAGTTGCACCACAGTGCTGGTTAAAGTTTAATAATATTATAACTTTAACAGGCCTCGCTTGGATAGTAAGTGTGGACAATTAAAGTGACTCTCAAATTATGACCTAATTTTGTCTATCATCAAATGGTGCCACCCATTCTTTACTTAACTTGTACTTTAACTGAACAGTTAAAGTTAGTTGATGCAACTCACGCTTATTATCACATCTAGGTACAGTTTGTGCACTTGATTTTTTTAACTTTTTGTATGATTAAACAATTGCTACTTACTATTGAATTAATTTGATCTGGAAAAACGGACGATTTATTTACGATATTGCATTTACATTCTTTTTTGAAGATTTTGATCCTTTATAGGTGTTCACTAAACTGAAATCTGAACTTATTTTCTTTTTTCTGTTGAAAGTTTAAAGAAAAAGAGTAAAAGTTACTAAGGGAACTTTCCCAGAAATTATATCCCAGGGCCTGGGATATAATTTCTGGGAATGTCTTTACAACCCTGCGGCTGTAATCCTGTCCCTGTAGGATGAGCACTATAGTATAGGTACATTATGTCACGTTTTTATCGCGCCTAACTGTCAAGAAAACCTCATAGTGATTTGACGTTTGATCGTGATAAAATCGAGATATATATCATATCACGAAACTCCGTGCGTGAAGTTGGTAAAGCTCTAAATTAAATGGAGAAATAAAGTTCAAATCAGACCGACAAAATCAGCTTTTTCCGCATTCTTTTGGATACATGAGTACTATATTTTTAATAACAATGATCTACTTTTTACGAAACCTATTGGTGCCAACCTAGTCAATAAAACATCTCACTCTTAATTACGTCTAGCCATCATTATTGATTGAGTAACTGATGAGAAAACAGACTACTAGTAGGACGTTGACTTAGTTTTATTTTTATCATTGTTACGTACACACAGCGGCGGATTCGCATTCTCGCCAAAAAAACTAAGGCTGGTTAGACGACAGGTGAGTCAGTGTATTGAGTGAAATCTTCTGATAATAAACAAAAAATACCTTTAATGAACGTTTTTTTTCTATAGTCATTGAAATCATCAATTGAAAATTTGTTATAAAGTAGGCATTCTTTTGCAAAATACGTTTTTGTACGGAGAAACCTGCTTTACAAAACACATTTGAAGATTTAATATTATGGAATTCCCGATTCAAAATGTATGAAAAACCCCAGTCAAGTGACGAATAAAGGACAACAGAAACTGAGTAATGGGCTCCGTAAAAACCCTTTGGGCACGGAACCCAAAAAAACCCTTCAAATAAAACATGTTTTAATGACAAAACCAGAATTGTGTTATTAAATATCCAACTCAGGTATCCAATAAGTAAAAAGTCATTCATATCACATAACTTAGTTGTTTGTTACTTACACACTATACACACTCAATATGAATTAAATGATTTCATGAAAACTACAAAAATATATTGGAATTAGTTAAAATAATGCTTTTATTACGGCAACCAGTCATTATTCGTAATTCGTTATAAAATGTCAAGTACTGCGAAGAAATGACGTGCCCTGGTACCTCAACAACTTTATTTCGTCAAGTCCATTCACCAAAAATTTGGGAATGTGTACAAACATGATTACTCGAGCACATTGACCAACACATAATAACGATTGTGCGCTTAGATTTGAAAGTGAGGTTTGTGTAGTAGGTACCCACTATCGCGACCTTGGCCACTGCATGGACGGACACGCAATGATGCCCATTAGTAATGATATTTCGCTTCACCATGGAATTCTGAACGAATTACTATGGTTAAGGCCTTAATAATAGTATACTTTCGTTCAAATGATCCACAATAGGCCCATACATCATCATCATCTGCCTAAAGTACTTAATTCTAAGACACAAGCCTTCCCTATGAGTGAAATAGGTAGAACAATTCACCTTGTAATTATCTATTTTTCACAAATAGTTTTTTTTTTTCCTCGTTTGTCCTCAGAGGGAACAAAGCCAGTGGTGACGACTGGGAACAATCGAAACCGGAAATAACTTCGATCATTTCATAGAGTAAGGTTCGTCCGATATAATCAGTATCGTGTCGATTTGAATATATAGAAATCGGTTCGATAGCCCCTGGCTAATCGGATTAATTTCATACTAGCAGTGCCCTGCGCTGCGGTTTCGCCCACGTTAATTTGACGAAAAGGATTAAAGTGAATCAACTCGACTTCGACTACGACTTTTTGTAAAATTTTTATAGGAGAATAATTCTGTCATACATGATGTTTGTGTAACTTTTAAATATATACTTTTTCGCAACATTTTTATTGATGCTCTTATTAGTCTCACCATGGTATTAAATGGCCTTCATCGATAAGTGGACTATCCAACACAAAAATTGTTATTCATAAAGGAACACTGAGATTACCACATTCAACCAATCTAACAAACAAACTATTCCGCTTTATTATATTATTATAGATAGCTATATATCTCCCATTCGTTTCTTTGTCTCTTGCTTCGTACAACTCTGTCTACAAGTGTCCTCTTTCGTCCTCCTATTCCCCTGACTGCATATCGTAGCGGCCTCATTAACTGAATATATATATATATATATATATATAGATATATATATATCAGTTCACTATTAATCATAGCCACCTAAACATATCTTAACAAATAAGAGGGAAGAGTGAATAAGATAACCATTCCGCTTTTAACCGCTATCCTGGCCGCGCGAAGATGCGGGTTCGAATCCCGTCTGAAATTCTCGATCCACGGACCGAATGGAACTGTTCTAGTAAAATTTTCTTTAGGGCTAAAAAAATATATAATAAATCTAAGATAACCGTAGCCCTACAGTATAGGAGATGTGGTCAAACCAGGCTAGGATAGGTAACGCGTTATCGTACGTAGAGGCTATGATGGTTACTAACTTACAGTTTGTCTTTTTAAAAAAAAAGTTATATTTGCCTACGTGCAGAAGACAACAGCTGCGGTTTTAATCCTTTATCCTTTAAATAAATAGACAGAACACAACGCAACATACTCGTATGTCAGTCTAATGATCAGACAATTTCGCTACTTTGTGAAAAAAAATAATGAAGGGAAAATTGCCAAAATATAATAATAATGAAATAGCATAGAACAAATACATCAGACTAGAGACTTTCAAAAACTTCTGCGAATGTTATGTCTTGTTTGAATATTTTCAATCAGTTTGGCTTGGAGTTGGTTACGCTACAGTGAAGTTGCTAGTTGCAATTTACAATAAAATAATAAAGAACTTTTTTAAGTGCTGGTAAATTCCTATTTTTTATTTTTTATGGATATTCCAAGGAAACTAATTAAGCGAGCCATGATAGGTAAAGACTAAATTGGTCCTTACTGCAAGCGTCAAAATTTTTTAAATTATCTCCTAATTGAAAATGAGCATGACCACTTAATACTTTACTTAAATTATATATCGACTTGTAATATGCCCTATAAGTTTGACCGGTTTAAAGGGCATAGTTTCGTAAAAAAGGAGGTTAAAGTGAAGTGACCTTTTATTGCTATCTTGTTTTAGGGTTTTTCTTTATAAACAGTTTGGTTTCTTTTTTCATCGGAAAAAAAATAGTAATATATGGCTGTTTCAAGTTTGTATATATTAGTAAATAGTAACAATTTCAAGTTCTTTCAGTCAAAATGTTTCAAAAATAAGAACTTGAAAAAACAATTTTCATACATCAGCTTATAGCTTTTGAAGAGACCACAAAATGGTTTTTTGTTGAACTTGCTAGTTCAAAAACTAAGGGAGTTGTTATAAAAAATACCCACAGTTTCAAAAAACACGTATTACAATACCGATAAAGAAAGTTTCTTCATCTTTTCACACATTATGAGACGCACATATGTATGTTAAGTTGTTGCTCTGTTTGTATTCAATAAAGTAGTATTTTAAACCCATTATTTTGTTTGGATTTTTATAAGCTACAATTTTACTCCGATTTTTTTTTTTTTCATTAAATACCTATTATCAGAGTTATTTTTTTGTTGAAAATTTGACTTTCCCAAACTCGAATAAGTCGAAAAGTATTTACTGTCAGAAAAAACTTTATAGAACAAAAGTTGTTCTTAGATAAGTCAATCTATCCATTCCCATACGTATTTTTAATAACAAATTTGGGAAACTTTACTGATGGGTACGTCCATAAACGTTTTTTTTGCTGTATATACGATATTTCCCCTTTTTGTAATGAATCTCCTAAATGATTTGAAAATTATGATTTGTGTTTAATGTTTTCTCATATAAGCAATTTCAATACTTCAAATGAAATAAAAAATTCGGAACGCAATGTAGATTGTATGAGTTAGAGAGAATGTGAAGCGGCATCCTGCTTCAACATTGCTGCTGGAAACTTCATTTTACGAATCCTAGACGTTTAAGTAGAGCGATGTGCTCTACTTGCCACGGACATGTTTCATCATCATTATATAATTATAACCTTTAGTTAATAAAATACTATCATTAAACTACTCGTCCAAGTCACGTTTTGCACAATTTTACATTCTTATGTATATTGTGTATTACAATAATTCTCTTTCTTTAACAGATATCAAAAATGAGGGCACTGTTCTTGATCATATCGTCGATAACATTAGTGAAATGCCACCCCCCACACCCTGCAGTGGTGGCGGTGCGGCAAGAGGAAGAAAGGTTACCGCCATATTTGCGCAGTCAAGCTCTCCACAATCCACATCTACAACAGATTCTGCCACTGACAAGCCTCCTGCACGACGGGGAAAATTTGGTAACGAATCTCTTTTGTAACAACCTTACCATGAGGTGTAAAAACACCTTGGTACTTTGTTTCTTAATTAAATTGAGTATCTAATTAAACATAGCTACACTTCATGCCGTATTTAAGTATGTCTTCGGAATCAGCAGTCACGACACTTCTGAAAATAATATATAAATACATATTCATATTTCAATAAATACATAAGTATTATAAATACAGTGGGAACTACTGTGAAATCTATGTTAATATATAACTGTATAATTTTTGTTATTTACCTACAACATTTTATAGAAATCGAAGCAGTAATTTCTGCGTGATGCTTGAGTAATGCCCGGAAGTGAGTAGCTGAGAAAAATTGTTTTGTGGCCCTGGTGTCAGCGATGTAGGGGATATTTACTGGGAACAATATATGTACATACACTAAAACAGATAAAATTACCTGTGAGCTGTTATCGTATTTCCTGCAAATTACCTACCGAAGTGTGCTAATAGAGTTACCGATGGGTCATCTGTCGACAGGTGTACGAACGTGAAAGCGACAACGTGCCTCGTCAAGAGATCTACAACATACTGACACACGCAGGCTTCCTCCCCCGCCGGCCTGGACACTACAAGCTCACGCAGTACCGGATGCACCGGCATCGCCCCTCCGCTCACCACCAGAACGACCTTATCAACGATAACTATTTAGATTTCTTTAGCGATCCTGAGTTGCTTCAGCATTTATGAAAAAGGTTGCGAATTCCAAAAAGTTCCAAGTTAATCCTCCTTATTTTTTTAAATTCTTTTAGGTCAGAAATGGAGATTGTAAAAATTTAAAAAAGTATTATGTATCACAGTTACCTCCATGACTAAATGTGTGTTTTCGAATTGCGTTGCTGGATATTAACGATTGACTTTTCACGATGTTGGGCGATACCACTAAGTGTTACACGAAGCCTGATTTACGAGATTGACTCAAGCTATAATGCTATTATATACTATCAACGCAAATCTGCTATATTATATGTGTTACTGTAAAAGCCTGTATATTGGCAAATCTTATGTTTTATCAGTAAATCTTAGGATTTACCGTCATGATATGATAAATGTAAGGACGGTTCGGACTTTTACCATTAGAATTTAGTACATGCTAGGTTACCCGTCAGGCAATGGCAATGAGGCTGCAGCGTAAAAAATAAACGGAATTAATATATCAACCTCCCTATCAGAAAAGATAATATATTAACGGAATGTATCTAATATGAGCTTATAATTTATAATTGCTAACCAGGAAATTTAAAAACGCAAAAAGAGGCTTCATTTTAAAGGCAATTAAACAAAAGGCTATTGTGTTTATGTTTATACTATTAGAGAATATTAAGATTGGAAACTCTATATATAGCTAAATCTAAATAGCATATTTTATTAATTATTTATATCTACACTTTATTTTATGTTTCTAAAATTCTTCATTTATCTGAAATTCTCGTGTTAAAATGTTAGTTACCATACTCCTACGAAACGGCTTGACCGATTTCATGAAATTTTAGCATATTCAGTAGGTCTGAGAATCGGCTACTATCTATTTTTCATACCCCTAAGTGATATGGGTTGTCCATCCCTAACATTTTTTTTTATTATTGGGACATAATTATTTTTTATAATGTGGCATTAAAAATACATACATACAACTCTAAATTTTCACCCTTCTACCGTCAACTCCTAATTTTGTGGCGGTATGAAGTTCGCTGGGTCAGCTAGTATTTATATTTATATTTTTTATTATATAACAGCAATTGTTATAGGTATCCAATAAAGTAAAGAAATAGAGTTTAATGCTTGTTCATACTGTTATTTTGTTCCTATAAACACATATTTGGATTTTGCATAGAACTTGGCACTCATTTAGATATAAATTCATTTTACGGCTAAGCCCACCAGCCGAGCATAATTTTTTTATTGAACTTGTCTCTCTTTTTTTACATTTATGTTTTTGGTGGAATATCATTACTTTTTGTAAAGAAAACTAGGCAGCTTTAGAGATTTAAACTTTGTTAATAATTTAAAATATATATTTTTTTAATAATTACAAGTCTTTTGTATGGGGACACCACTTATTTTTTGATTTAACTTTATTTTTATATTTCTGTTATATAGCAAATATAATAATACATATATTGGGATAGTTTCAAATATCTGCTTATAACGCTCCAACACTACATTTTTTTGGTATATTTTTTTAGATTGTTTGCTACGCTTACACACAATTTGAAATTTGAAATCCAGCTAGGTAGCTGGATTCCAAATTTCAACCTTCTAGGTCATCTTGAAGTAGGTTACATTTAGGTACGTCAGTCAGTCAGTCAGTGCTAAAATTTACGACTTTTTGACCTTCATATCTTTATAACCGTTTGAGCTAGCTTCATGAAATCTGCACTTCTAGATGTCCTTATGGATATAATTAAACGCATGTAGTTTTATGTGTTTACGTTAAAGAGGTTTTGAGTTATAGAAGGGTCAAAAGTGGCACCAAGTGGTTCGTGTAATATTACACTCGGCGCTGGCTAGCCAGTTCCTTAGCTTGAACTTGGCTTGACACGCTGCCGCGTGTCTAGATAAAAAGACCTTTGCAAACTGTGTTTGGATAAATAAAATATTTGATTGAGCTATTGATTAACCACTGACGGCTAGTAAATGTTGAGTTTGGGAATAAAACAAAGGCTAATCTTACTGAATTAGTATTTTTCTTATTTGGTTTTGAACAAACAAATTCAAAAAAGACAATTAATCAATAGTAATTACACATATCGATACCTAGATAGTGAAAAAATACTTTTAACGAAAAAAATACAAATAAATAAAAACAATTAAATATTATTAATCATATGTACAGGTAGACGGTGCGGGTAGCGGGAGTTGCTGACTGCTCACGAGTACGAGACGATGAGCCGAACACGTTATGACATGTCTTTTTCAACATTTGTGCCTTTGATATCAATCCTGGTGGTAAAAGTTTGAATCGCAAAACTGTTCGAACTTTACCATTAGAGGTTTACCACCTCTGAAATCTTAGGTTTTACTGGAAAATCTCAGGATTTACCGTGTTTTGGACTTTTACAGTAATATATACACCATGCATGGTAAAACATGGTAAAACACTCATAGAAAAGAAAAAAAATCTAACTGCTAGGGTAACACATGCCACTTTTAGTGCGAGTGCTCAGCATGTAGAGACTTTGTTTATTACATAAACACCTCAAAGCCCAGCCCAGCGTGTTATATCGTAACCTAAAATTGTATCAATGCCTATGATGATGGCTTTTGATTATATAACACAAAGGTAAAATAATGCTAATGTATACCTATTTATGATGATAATTTGATAAATAATTTTTAACACATTTGCTAAACAATGCTTTTACGGAGGTTGTATAATATATTGTTCGAAAGTTCAAAATTATGCACCATACAACAGAGCGTGCGGTAAAAAATTTACCGCCTGCTCCGGTATATGACACCGTGAGTATCCTTTACGGTATTTTTTTTATTTCTATCGATCCTCCTTGGAAGCGCTTTTGGTCTATACGTTTGGCTCACTTTAATGCTAAAAAAGAAATGAAGCATACTTTTTCTAATAAGAAAATGGTGCGCATTTCAAAATGGCGCCAATTGCGGGTGGTTAAAATTAGAACTACATATTTCGTCTCTTTTTCTTTTTAGTATGAAAGTGAAACAAAGGTACCTATAGCTTAAAAGCGTTTCCGAGGGGGTTCGATCGAAATAAAAAAACCGTAAAGGATACGGTAAAACGTTTTACCGCACGCTGCGTTGTATGGCCCGTAATTGTTAACTTTTGAACAATGTATACAACCTCCGTTAGTGCAGTTTTTGAGTAAATGTGTTGAAAATAACTATTACGTGCAATAATGTACGTACAAAATGTTTTGGTACTTTACGAAGAATGTAATTGTAATTTGTAAATGTTATGTAAATATTTAAGAAATATAAATGAAATGTTAGTACGAATTGTATTTTATTATGAAATAAATTGTAACACGTATTAATAATCTTAACACTATTTGAAAAGCGTATGCATAATTTAATGTAAACATACGCGATGCCTTATTATGAGAACTGGAGCAAGAATATACGAAATTATGTAAGAATCATCCATAACATATTTCGATAACTTTAAAAGTGAAAGAGTCTAACTAGAAAATATTGTAACACAGTTATAAAAGCCAAATATTTTACGTTGACAATGCTATCAAACAAACAAATAAAATAATCGTCCATAAAAAAATCTTTAAATGGCATTTTAACCTTCACAACCGAACGATCGCTGTTTGGAATCATGTCATTTCACAATTAATAGCATTATCGTATAAAAAATTCATAACATTTGCACAATATAACAAATTACAAGCTATTTCATATTAAACGAGGTTGTATGTTAGTTATATCCTGCCATTCGCGGTTACAAGGGAAATGTTATTCATTTACAATGCCACAGATTTGTAAGAGATTACTGAAGGATTATTGTGAGAATTGCACTTTTGCTGGAATACGATTTATTGTTGACGACACAAAACATTGGATTGAAAGGTAATTAGTATAATTAAAAGTTTCCATTTTGAGGGTTTTTTGATGTTAGCTATTCATTCAACATCATAATTTTTGTAGCATCATGATTCCGTTTTTTTTTTGCGGAATGGGACTCTATATGCAGTTACTTTAGATGTGGCCGGGTTCAGAAGATGTTCCTTAATAGTGTTGTTGAATATATTATTTATCAACCGTGAAATTAAAGCAATAAAAGAAATAACATTTAAACTCGATAAATATTTTTAACCATATCGAATAAAAATATTCATTCAGTCATGTTGATTTTAACGCGAGAGTAATAGTAATAGTTATATTAGATATATTTATTTATTTTTATTTATTTATAATGGCACAATAACAGGTATCAGACAAAAAAAATACAAATATAAAAAGCTATGAAAAACTATGGGCATGCCTGTGCCCAATTACAAATTGTGCACAACATTTACATACATAAACAGACATCGAACAAAAAATTAAAATATCTGAATATTATATCATTATAACAGAGTTAACTATTATTATAATTCACAAACACCTCGATCAATATGGGCTTTGCAGAGAGGGGAATAACTAGTTTTATAATTTTTAGTGTTCAGCACAAATTAACAAAGAATGCATTGGCAATCCGACCAAGAGCACAGAGATCTCTAATATATCTACGTCTCTCTAAGGTGATCATATTAATATAACGAAGACGATTAAAATATTCGTGTACTTTTTTGCGTAAACCACACTTCGCCAACAGGCAACGAACAAACTTGCGCTGAATGGCTTCTACTCTGTCAATGTGAACGGCGTAAATAGGGGACCATATTGAAGAACAATATTCGAGTATACACCTTACCAGTGCATTATAAAGAATTATCGAAATTTTTTTTTTGCTGAATGGCCTAGCAGTTCTGGTTATAAAACCAAGCATTTGATTGGCCTTATTGCAAATATGGTCAAAATGAGATCGAAATTTGAGTGCCGAATCGTAATATACACCCAAGTCACGGGCTGTTTTAAAACATAATAATACAGTTCCTTTTATAGAATAATTATAATGCACTGGCAATTTATTCTTTGTAACAGAAATTACTTGGCATTTATTAATGTTGAGGGACACATTGTGATCACA